AGGTAAATTCTATTTTAGCCTTAGAGTGATGAAAGCCTTTTTAACCATAACTTAAAGTCTAGATGTCTTTGAAAATTAATAGATTTGCCTGCATGGCAATAAAACATTTGCATGGGGGGTTAAAAAAAACATGAGCAAAGTCAAAGAATTGGGGGGGGGTATTTAAAACTCCTCTCCCAGGTGAAAGACCAGCCTTCATAATATGTAAGGAGCTCCAAGAAATCAAAAACAACACTGACAGTCCAGCAGAGAAATGGCCAGAAGATGAACATGAACTATCAGTTCCCAGAAAGAGAAATACAAATGGCCCTTATTTACACATAGGGGAGATGCTCAGGCCTTCCCATGATAAGGGACGTGCGCAGCAGGGCGTCACTGAATACGGATTTTCGTTCTCAGATGGGCGAGCACTCAGGTGTCTTCCAGCAGGCTGTGCTGCTGGGGCACAAGGTATCAAGACTGCAAATGCACTTGCCCTGTGACGGGGCCGTGTTGCTTACAGGAATTTACAGCTTTGCCCGCGTGGGTCTGAACAAGCCATACTCTCCTCCTGACGGACTGCTGCACGTTCGCCGTGAAGAGAGGCCGGCTCCACGTGGCAAGGTTGCCTCACAGAGCGGGAGCATCCTCTCATTTAAGAAAAGGATGGCTCAGTGTCTGTGTTCCTATTTCATAGGTTTGCATAAAGAAACATTGGGAGAATCAGTAAGAAGCTAACAAAGCACTTACAGTAGTGGTGAAGGGAGAGCTTCACTTGCCTTTTATTTTAACATTTATTTTCATTTTATATCCAGATGTCACTTTTCCACATTCAGGTATAATCACGCCGACTCTGCAGCCCCTGCAGGGACAGAGGGGGGAAGCTGCCTTCTCCGTCTATGCCTTTCTGTAGCATTTTGATTTTTGAACTTTTAAATATATTTACAAATTTTGGAACGTGTGAAAAAGTAGTTTGAAGGCATAAAAGCGTCCATATGTGCCAGTGATTTTCCCATTGATCCTGGTTATTTACAACGTTGATGGTGTTTTCATTCCGAAGTTTACCTTTGACACAAGAGCATCTGATTGGAGAATATTTTTTTATGTTCATTTATTGTTTTAAGTCCTCTCTGCACCCAACGTGGGGCTTGAACTCATGACCCCAAGATCAAGGGTCACGGGCTTCTCCGACTTCGCTGGCCAGGCGCCCTGTATATTTAAGTATCTTCTTAGTCCGTCGCGCCAGGGCCTCAGGTGTGCGGAGGGACATAAACGCGCTAATGAACGTGCTGCGGAATTCGTGAGGGGCTGTGAGCTCTTGTGACCAGTAAGCAGAAAGCCTGCCCTGGTCTCGTTTTCTCAGGCACCGCTGGTTTCATGACCTCGCCCCGTTGCTAAAACGGTGTGTGCGCATCCCGACACCATCTCGCCGTCTCCGAGGGCACCCCTCGCTCTGGCAACAGCCACCCTGCAGCCCGCTCTGGGTCTTCCTTTTCTCTCATTGAGGACTGAACTCTGGGACCCACATGGATGGGAAGTTGACTTTCTGTGTGTTTCTCCGAGTTCACGGCAGGTCATGAGCGGCGGTGCCCACTGGTGCTCAGGACGGTCCTGCCGATGTCCCTGCCGACGTCCCATGCCCTCCTCCACACCCCCCCCGCCCCCCGTAACAGACTGTCATGTGCGTGCAGGAGAAGGAAGTGTGCTTTTCCAGAGTATTGCCACCTGCCTGGCCTCGTAAATCAGCCTTGAGGAAACCATCCCTCCTGCTCTCTGCTCCATCCTGGTATCTGCACTGTGTCTTCGGTTGGTGCCACAGTGAAATGTGTGCTCCCTTCCTCCCCTGCTTGCTCTGCTTCTCTTCCTCACTTCCCTGTCCCTCGTTCTGAAAGCACAATTCCCTGAAATCCCGAGAGAGAAGAACCAAAGCTGTAGCAAGAACTGAAAGCACGTCAGAGGTGGTTTTGCATGTGGTCGGACAGTGGTGTGTTTACAAAAACCACTTTATGTTCATGCCCTTGCTTCTCCTCCAGCCTTAATATGTCATACCTGCAGCTGGATCTGGGGGGCGCAGCTGCTTCGGAGGCTCCTCGGCTGCCAGAGCCCCCCAGGCTCCAGGCGAGGCTTTCCACCGAGCCCGTGACAAGTGTGTGTCTGTGCATTACATTTCTGTGCCTTTGTAGTCGAAAGGCCTGGTGTTTCCCTCCTTCTGATGAGGCACTTGGCCAGGGTACGTGTGTCCCAGGTCCCTGCATGCGGTGTGGACAGAGGGCAGGGGTGGGACAGCCGAGTTGGTGAAAGTCTGAGCAAGCTCTAAGCCAGCTGGTAAGCGACTCCGGCTGAGGCCTGAAAGGGCAGGCAGACCCGCGAAGAGATGGCGCGTGACCCCCTCATCAGAGCAGGCTCCACACCGAAGGCCCCTGACGCACACACCGAAGGCCCCTGATGCACGCACCTCGGCTCAGAATGAGTGGGGCGTGAATTAGCGGCACCGAGTCATTCTTTGATGAGGCGCGCTGGAGGGCTTCACTGTAAACGCGTAGGCCTTGATCTGACTTGTCGAACCTCTGGTTTAAGAAGAAGGGGCCTTTGTTCTCAGAATCGGGCACGGGACCGTGGTTCCCAGGGGCGTCGGTGCTGCTCCCTCCCGGTCCCCTCTGGACGGCGTCTCTACAGAGAGGACATCGTGTTGATACCTTCTTAGATCTTCTGTCACCACCTGAGTTCAGAGCAGGGCGTCCCTGCAGGATTACTTGGAAACTCGCGCTTCATTGGCTTCCTGGCTCTTCGGGAATCAGCCTGCTCACCTGAGTCCCCGGTGCCCATGCTTCCTGACCAGCCACCCGCGCCCCACCCTGCTTAGGTCCCACTTACACGGCAGGGCCAGTGGCCGCCCTATCGGTTTACTGGTGCGAGGAAGAAACACCGAATTATCAGAGCGCCCGAGAAGCCGGCCGTGTGGAGGAGGTGGGGGGGAGGCTCTGTCTGCAGAGCTGGGAGGGGGCTGCATGCAGGAGACAGCCCCCCACCCGTGGAGGGGAGCATGCAGCCCTTCTCCCTTTGCTGTCGGACGCTCACTTCTTCTTCAATGGCCTTTGTCCTCTGGTGGGAGCAGGGGAAATTCATCGTCTCCGTGGACATGTTACCCCAAATGCCACTAACCAGTTTTTCTGGACGTTAGTCCCGGAGCCCATGTAACATCATGCCTATGTTCCAAGGGTCACTCCCTCCAAGAAGAAGAGCGTCCAGGACGCGGGTCACTCTCAGATGCTCTTGCGTATACTGTGTGTTTACCTTCGACCCCACGAGTTGAGCACAGAGCTCTACACTGGGGTCCCAACAGCTAGCAAGAGGGGCAGCCTGGCGCGGGACCTAGCTCCTTGCTTCTAGTTCTGCCTTTTCCTGTCCTCTGTGCAAACAGAAACCTTTCTCTCGGCACTATGCACCCGAACCCTGAGTGTCCAGGGCATGATCATCTGAGCCCCTTGAAGAACCAGCACTTCCAAAATGCCCCCAAACCCGCCAGCCTGGTGTGACATCAGGGCTTCTGGTAACACGGCCACCACCTCCGAGCCAGGCTCCCTTCTCCAGAATTCCCACTCCTCAGCCCTGGGCACCTGTTTCCTGTGTCCTCCAGGGCCCCGTCCTCCGTGGTCCAGAGCACCCTCCTCCCGCTCTGTGCCGTTGGGTTCCCACCCAACATGAGGGTGACTTCCAATCTGGAAGGTCGTCTTGGATCCCGCTCTGCTCGCTGGAGTGTGTACGTGCAACCTTCCTCCTGGTGGCTCTGCTTGTGTCTCAGGCGCCTCAAACACACTGGCCCCCAAATAGAACGCTTCCTTCTCTGAGGGCCTGTGACCGGCACCCCAGCTCTTCAGTGATCTTGCCAAGCAGTTGTGCCACCCGCACCCCCACCACCCCCCAGATCCTGCGAGAACAGTCTCCGTCTCCTGTCTCCGGGGTCCGTGGTCATCCCCATTCCCTCCGCCCTTGCTGCATGTGCCGCCCCCTTCCGGTCTGGCTCATCCTCCGCTGCAGTCCTGCAGACCCACTGCCTTGACCCTCCCGGGTTCCAGCCCCTACAGGCCTCCTCGGGGCCTCCATGCAGCATCTGAGGCCTTGTGCCATCTGCATCCCACATCCCACAGGATAGGCTTGCCTTCCCCTCCATCCCGACTCTGCAGAAAATCCCAGCTGTCCCTCAGAGTAGGCACCCCCTCCTTTCCCTGAGCCCCCACATCCCCAGGGTCTCCTTGCCATGCCATCACATGCACACAGTTGTCTCCTCCAGAGACCGTGAGCGGGGTGTGGGTCATGTCTCTGTGTCCAGAACTGAGCCAGTGCCTGGCACCAGCGGGTCCTTGAACGTGTGCTGAGTTCGTGAACCCAGAGCCGTGCAGGGCATACAGGTGCAGTGCAGCCCGGGGAGTTGGGAAGAGCTGCACGCCCAACACTTCACTTACGCTTCCCACCTCAGGGCTCTGCTCTGGGGTACGGAGTCGGGCCTCTGCTCCGGGAAGCACTTTGAAACGTATAGCACAGATGGTCCCCACAACTTTACTCACACTGAGGATCCTTTTCCAGTCTTTTGTAAGTCTAAGCAAAATCCTAAGGAAAGCTTCGGCAGGGGCTGGGGTCTGCAGAAACCAGGGAGGATTTCGAGTGTTGGGTGCATCCTGCCTCGGAGGGCAGGAGGAAGGGATCATGGGAAGGGAGGGTCTGGGCTCGGGCCGCCGAGGTGAAGGGGCCCCCCTCCCGGCTGGTACCCAGAAGTGTTCGGGGAACGTCTCGGAGCTGCCGCACTCCTAAGCATGTGTGAGGTGCCAGCCCCTCTCCCACAGCCGAGGAGGGTGTGTCTGTAAGCAGCCGTTCTAGCTGTTCTTCCAAACGAACCCTGGACTTGAGGAAATCACGGAGGCATGAGACATTCACTGCACCTTCACTATTCACACATCCCAGGAAGCAGGGAGCCCCTCCAGGTAGCTGCACTCACGGTGTCTCCTGTCTCTTTCTCTCCCCAGTCGTGCCAAGCTGACCTGGTGAAGGACAACGGTCACAAATACTTCCTGTCGGTCTTGGCAGACCCTTACATGCCAGTAAGAGGACCCTCACTTCTCCTTGGACAGTCTCAGATCTGTGTCGCTGGTCTCTGCTCACACGTCACGCTCTGGGGTTTCTGTGGCGAGGGGCTCCCTGCGGGCGGAGGGCCACGTCAGGGAGTGGGCAAGCGGTGTGCCTTTGCTTAAGAGCACCTGATTTCAGAGCTGTTTCCTTTCTGTGTCTGAGCAGGTTAGTTTGGTTGTTTACATTCGTCTGTCTCCCTGGCATGTGTTTGCAATAGAGTAGAATCCGCTCTCTCTCACATCCTGTCAATGGAATTAGATTAATGAGTGCTTGCACGTCTGTGATATGACAGCTCACATGCCTAGTGAAGGTTCTGGAATATGACAAGTTGCCGATGTGCCTTATGAATCGGGAAGGAAAGCAGAGAGTGAACATTTAAGTTTCAATTTTTTTTCTTTTATTAAAATGCTTCAACAATAGTAATTTATGAACAGCATTTACAGCGACTCCTACAAATGTGTTGTAATTAATCCCTAGGTTCCCTCCCTGCAGCTCCTAGCATGGCAGAAAGAACAGAACAGACATCCCGAGTCGCTCCTTGATATAACTGAGTTTTGCCAGCACATTTAAAGCATAAGAGCTCATTTTCACAGTCCTGGTGTTCTAAACTAAATGCTGATTACTGAAGAAAAACCAGAAGACATTAAAAACAGGATGGTTACATAAAAGGCAAATAGTACCCACATGTTTTAACCTAAGTGTGATAAGGGAGTGTCATCCTAGGCAGCGAAAGTTGACACTTCACAAGAGGCTTGGAGACAGTTTCTTCCCCGCTTTTCTGGTGAGCAAGAACACCGTCGACCAAATGGAAAAGGACCCTGCATGGGTGATCGTGGCTCAGTGGCAAGCCAAGCCGGCCGGGGTGGGCCCTGCTTCGGCTGCAAACACATTGATGTTTGAGCCCATAGTGAAATTCGAAAGAGAAGTTTGCCAAATGCCAAATGCCAAAAGCTGAAGCAAGAAGTCTGAGGAGAGCCACAGTGGGAAGGGAACGCTGACCCTGGGGTCCCCTGCCCAGCAGACCCACATCCACGCCCAGGATGGTGCCTGATCGGCGGCAGCACAAGAACAGACCCCTGCTGAAAGCCAGGAGCCTGTGAGGCGCGCCCCACCCCACCTGCGGGAAGGGCTCAGGAACGCGGCTCCCGGGTGTCCACGTCCCGGCCAGGACACTAGCCCTGCTCCGCAGGGGCCTGGAAGCAAAGGCAGAACCTCCCACCGCACGCTTGCACAGCCCAGAGCCTGAGAGCCTCAGCCGTAAGCGGGCGAACCAGCAGAGTCGGCAAATAGGAAATCAGCCCCGAGAACTGAAAGTAATAGAGCTCTCTGAAAAAGACTGTAAAATCCGTATGGGTAAGTGTGTGTAAGACGATTGAATGAAACAATTTAGTTACGTCCAGAAATAACACCATTATGTTGTTTCCTCAGAAGTACTTTTGTCCCTGTTAGAAGAAAATGATCTGTTCTTTCCTTTTTACTCATCCTCAGAAATGACCAACTAGAGGGACGCCTGGGTGGCTCAGTCATTAAGCATCTGCCTTCGGCTCAGGTCATGATCCAGGGCCCTGGGACCGAGCCCTGCATCGGGCTCCCTGCTCTGCAGGAAGCCTGCTTCTCCCTCTCCTGCTCCCCCTGCTTGTGTTCCCTCTTACGCTCTGTCTCTCTGTCAAATCTTTAAAAAAAAAAAAAAACGACCAACTGGATTCTTTTGGTAAATAGGCAGATTTGAGGGGAGAGAACCTGTAACAGAAGACGTAGCCACTGCTGTTCAATGCTGCGTGGATGAAGTGAACCACAGACCAGCACCGTGAGTGAGAGAATTCGTGGAGAAGTCACCCAGAATGGAGCAAACAAAGGCATGAAGGGGGCTCAGAGGCCTGCGAGGAGGGGTCCCACTGCTCCCAGCCCCAGGCCAGAGTGCTCCATCGGGACAGTGGGGAGAAGGAGGATGTGAGCACACCCATAGCTGAGAATTTTCCCGATAGGAAGAAAGGAACGAGTTTTTTTAAAAAGCACAGTGAATCTTGCAAAGGCTGAATACAAACAGATCCACACAAAGACGCATCCTGATGGAAGTAGAACATCTCAGAGCAAAAGGGAAAACCTTAGAAGTAGCCAGAACGAGAAGAGGGCCTTTGTGCTGGAGTGGACAGCTTCAGTGGGTGACGGACACTGGCACTAGAGGAAACGGACTGTCACCCCAGCACCCTCCACCTGCTCCTGTACTGTTCGGGACAAGTGGCCAGAGACTCAGAGCCCGCCACATTCAGACCCCCAGCATTGACCCTTACGAAGACCATGCTTCGCTCGGAGATTGAGCCCACAGGGACACAGGCAGCAGCACAAGACTAAGGAGTTGGCAGACGTGTTGGCATGGCTAAGTACACCCTGGCTGTGGAAACAGACAACATCCGGCATGAACTTGAGGGGTTAAGGCGGGAGGAGGAAGGCTGGGATTGGCACTGTAGTGGCCTTGACAAATCCGAGGGTGAGGGCGAGAAGGATCCGTTTCAGACTCCGCTCAAGGTGCACATTAAAAACATCAGGCCCCACGGAACCATTGAAATAGGCTGACTGGCTCCCCCCTCAGGAGGGCCACAGAGGGAAGGGCAGGATGAAGACCGACCCACGCGACGGAAGACCGGGAAGGAGAAAGCTGGGAACTGAGGACGCAGCATCCACGCATTTCCCGCCAGCGCTCTTGGCGAGGGCAGCGTGCTTCCACAGGCTTGGGCAGGGGTGAGGGGTGAGCAGTCGGGTGCTTCCCACCGGCGGGATGGCCCCCTGCTCACGCGGGGCCGCAGCAGACGTGTCCCCTCCTGTGGCATTCGCAGCTCGGGGAACAGCCTGTGCCCGAGGCTCCAAGCCCAGAGCCACCAGACCCTCTTCAAAGGGCTTTTTTTGTCTGTAGGCTCCAATCCAGAGACAGCAGAGCTGACTCTCGTGTCCGCACACCAGGCTCATCGCAAAGGTTCAGAAAGGATAGCTGTGCTGTGCTTGGGGAAGTTTGGGTTTCCACCACGGGAGAGAGCAAAACCAGGCTGACTTCTGTTTTCCAGGCTGAACACCGGACCATGACGGCCTTCATCCTCGCCGTGATTGTGAACAGCTACAACACCGGACAGGTGAGTGCCACGGCCGCCCCCCCCCCTCCACTGCAGAGGCCTGGCCCCAGCTGCCCTGTTCTGGCTGAATGTCTGTGGAACAGTCTCCCTCAGAAGGGGGCTCCCTGGGGCACGGGGCGGGGCCTTCGTGTAGCCCACCGTTTGCAGGTAAGTTGAAATTGGTGGGATCTGGAATGAGGAAAACTGAACGTAAGTTGCAATATGGGCATTTCCCTGAGCAACGAGCAACAGGGCTGTGACCCCCGCCGGCACCCCTCGCTGCCCCGGCTTGGGAGTGACCGCCGGCTGTTGTCTGCCTTCTCGCAGGAAGCCTGCCTCCAGGGAAACTTGATCGCCATCTGCCTGGAGCAGCTCAATGATCCCCACCCACTGCTGCGCCAGTGGGTGGCCATCTGCCTGGGACGCATCTGGCAGAACTTTGATTCGGCCAGGTGGTGTGGCGTGAGGGACAGTGCGCACGAGAAACTCTGCAGCCTCCTCTCTGACCCCATCCCTGAGGTGAGCCCGCCACTGCCAGTATGTTGAGGCCAGAGCCCGCCGACCCGCCCACGGCAATCTGGAGAGGGCCAGAGACCATGCCGCCACATCACCTAGCCTCCGGGTCCCTCACTCCCTGGTGGCTCACACGGTGCCCAGTTTGGTGCTTGGCTGCCTCCCCGCGCCCTGCTGCCCTATCAGGACAGGTGGTACCATGCAGGGTCGGACCCCAGCCACCCCCTGTGGCTTGACCGCGACCTGGCCCGTCTTGCAGGTGCGCTGCGCAGCGGTCTTCGCCCTTGGCACATTCGTGGGCAACTCTGCAGAGAGGACCGACCACTCGACCACCATCGACCACAACGTGGCCATGATGCTGGCCCAGCTGATCAACGACGGGAGCCCCGTGGTCCGCAAGGTGCGTGGCCCCCAGGTCCGCAGGCAGCAGCAGAGCGCCTGGCGGCCGGTCTCGCACGGCGCCCTGGGGTCTGCACCAGCATCCCTGACCGCAGCCGCGAGCCCTCATCTCTCACTGGCACGCACCCTTTCGAGAGCAGACCTTGAAATGTTTGTTTAACTCTCTACAAAATGCGTTTCTTCACCAGATACTCGTGTGTTTGCTTCATTTAAAGGCATTTAACAGGGCTGCGCCTCCTGGCAGCTTGTAGAATAGGCTCCTTCCTGCCTGGGAGCAACACATACACAAATCCCGGAGACTCAAAAGAGCAGTAGACACCCACAGACAGACGGAAAGGTTTGTGTAGTGTACTCCCCTCCCCGCCCCCGTGTTTGTCAGCGGCTCAACGGAACACTTTTCTAAAGTTGAAAATTTGTACTTGTCTGTTTAGATGTAGAAATATCACGGATTTCCGTCCAAGGCCTCACACCTCTGTGGGAAGTTGGCCCGGCACAGCTAGATGCCCGCCCCCCCCAGGCAGAGGCACCACCAGGGACCCGCGTGGTTTACTGGTGAACTTGGAAGGCTGCCCATGCAGCAGAGGCGGTTTTCCCGAGGGTGGCACGCATTCACATGGCACCGAGCAGCTGCCGGGCCGAGACCACCGCATGGGGGAGAGGGAGGCCGGGCATGGCCTGGGGCCGTTGGCTCGTTTGGACCCCACTGGTTTTCCTGGGAGGGACGCAATCTGGGCACGTTCATGTCAGCCAGACTTGACACACGGGAGGGCTCCTTCTATCTCATGTTCCCTTCAGGGGCTGCTGAGCCCGTTGCTCATGTGCCCGATTAGCTAGCGCCCCATCAGGACTGCGACACGAGACCCTGGCGTCAGGCCCATTTTACTGGCCCGCACTTTCTCGATCGCAGGCTCCTTTCCTGCCGCCCACCAGCAGAGTGCCTCTACTCAGAGCCACTGATCATAGCAGCACAGTAGTGGTTCCTTTAATTGTCCATTAAAATCCCTTTTAAAGAAGGAAAGCTTTACTCCTTCTTTCCAGAAAATCCTAAAAATAACAAAAAACGTTAATAAAAATTGGAAAACTGTCCCTCTCAGTTTCCAGTGTCTGGATGGTGGCCAGCGAAGCCGTGGGGACGCCTGGGCCTGCTGTGCTCTTGAGCACATCCCCGAGTGCCTTGATAAGGCCCCTGGTGTCCTGGTCCTGGCTGAATGCCACTCGCTGTCCCAGGTGTAGCCAGGTCTCTCCTGAGGGCACATTGCTGTCTGCCTTGCCTGGGGGGCTGCATGCTGGAGCTGCATCCCAGGGGCGCGGCCGCATATCTGAGCCCCTCCCGCAATGAGGGGTGTGCCCCATCTGGAGGCCGAGAATAGCTCTTCTTCCCACGTGCTCCTCCATCCTGGGCTCAGCATGCAAGCTCTTGCATCCCAGGCCCTGGAGCATAGAGTGGAAGATGAGCCTGCCTTCAAGGGGCAGACACGGGAACCAGCAATGGTGCCAAAGCACCCATAAATATGCAGGACCTCAGAGGTGGGCGCAGAGCTTTCTGGAACAGGTCAGAGTGGCACCTACCCTGCCTCGTCAGGGAAGAGGGGTCAGGAAGGCTTCCACAGGTGGGAGCTCGTTCCTGAGCAGCCAGGAGCCAGGGAGGTGAGGGACAGGGAGAGCAGGTAGGCTAGGCGGAGCATGTGCAAAGGTCCAGGGGTATGAAGGCCCATGGTGTGCCCAGGGGCTGCCCGCCATTTGAGTGGCTGTGGCAGCGAGCAGCAGGAGGGGCAGCAAGGGGATGAGGAGGAGGGCAGTGGCTTATCGTCGTGGGGTTCTGCACATGGTGAAGGGCCCTGCTGTGAGGGTATTATCCGGACTCCCCTCACAGCGCCAAAGTACTTCATTCTTTCAGCAAATGCTTGAGTGCTGTGCTCCAGGTGCTGGGGGAGGCCGTGGGACCCTGCCCTGCTTTCAGGGAGACAGACCGCCCCAGCATGCCTATTAAATAAGTCAGTGAGGTGATGTTTGCTATGGGAACATGGGGGCACAGAGGTTTAGGGGAGGAGGGTAGCAGTTGCAGAAACGATGCCATCTGAGTGGGGTGGGCAGGGAAGGTCTTGGGGAGGAGGTGGTGCCTGCTCCGAGACAGGGACCCTTCGCCGTCTGCAGGACCCCAGCACCCATGGCAGCTTGGTTTTCTCCTTGTCCAGAGCCACATGGTGGGACTGGTGTGGCGCATAGCACCCTGAGGGAGCGGGGCCCAGCCTGCTGGTCCAGGAGACCCCGCTCCGAGGCCCCGGTCAGGGTCACCGGCTGTGACCACAGCGAGGGCACTGGTCACATGCGCAGCCAGCCGCTTGTATGTTCCAGCTTGCGGCGCAGGAGAGAAACAGGGCTATGTGGCGGGGTTTTCGTAAAGTCCCATGTATTCGATGTGGGAGAGATGACCTCCATTTACTTGTTACAGTGCATATCGTTGATAAGGCGATAAATAGCAGAGCGTCGCCACGTTTCATGAGCTTACTTGATAAAATCAAAGTCCGCATGTGGACGCCAGCCTCCCAGATCCCTCTGGAGGTGAACCTGTCCGTGAAGGACGAAGTGCAGCGTGCCCAGTCTGCAGCGTCCACCTCCTCAGAAGGGCCAGGCAGGGGGTGCAAGTATGTCACCCATCCAACCCCGCATCTGCGCTCCCAGCTTCCTCGCCACCATCCGCCTAGCAGCCCTGTGCTTTTAGTTGTGTTTGTGGTTAGTAACCACAGCCCTGCAGAGGACCAGCCCCCGGCATCCACCGCCCTTACCCGCATGTGTGACCCAGAGCGAGACTGACGGAAAGTATCAGAGGCTCTTTCCCCATCGACACCCCAGGACCCGGGTCCCTGGTGCAGATGAAGGGGGCAAGCTGCCCGGGCCAGAGCACCTTCGCCCGGAGGCAAGCCTGGAGGGTGCACATGTTGGAGCCAATGTGCTCCCCTGAACACTGCTCCGTCTTGCCATAGTTACGAGGCCGAGTCTGAGACTCTGTGACCACCAGATGTCAGGCAGTAATTTGTTGTTGGAAACATGCAGCAGGGACAGCCCTTGGGGGAGGAAGCAAGGAGGAGGCAGCCAGCACACAGAGGCTGCAGGGAGGACCCTGGGAAGACGCGTGGTCCGACCTTCCACACAACCAAACGAGCATTAACCGGACTCCCCGTGGGGCAGTGCGTGTGCCCAGGCGGGATGTCCTGAATCCTATGACAACTTGGTGAAGTGAACCCCGTGCTAGAGATTAGAATGGCAGAGATTGAAGGGAGAGACTCTGTTCCTTTGGTGCCTACTTGTTAGGCACCTGTGTGCTGGGCCCTGGGTCACCAGGCTGTGACGACCCAGCCAGGAACTGAACCTGGCTTTTCTCCCGAGAGCTTGCACTTGCAGCTGGTCAGGCTGAAGACTGAACAGACACACTTGTGATGTGGCAGGGGGTGACCGTGCTCTGAGGCAGATAAACAGGATGAAGTAGAGTGTGTCTGTGGGCGGAGCCCTGGATGAACGTGGGGCACTCAGGGAGACGTCTGAGCAGAGGCCTGAAGGAAACACAGGGTGGGCTGGGGGACACTTGGGGAGGCCTTTCCAGGCCAAGGGAACAGCAAATACTCAGGCCTGGAGCAGGAGCCGTGGCTCCTTCAAGGGTCTGTGCTAGATCGAGGGTGGTGGGCACAAGGGGCAAGGAGCAGCCGGGACCCAGGCAGGCAAGGCCTTGTTTTCTGCATGTGAGCAGAAGGCAGGAGGTTGGGAAGAAGGTGGGACTGACCCTGCCGTATGAGGCTGAGAGGTGCTGCTGGCCAGGGGGGCTAGGCCACGTGCCTCGGGGTGCTGGGGGGCTGGGCCACGTGCCTCGGGGGTGCCGGGGGGCTGGGCCACGTACCTCGGGGGTGCCTGGGGGCTGGGCCACGTGCCTCGGCGCCAGGGGGGCTGGGCCACGTGTCTCGGGGTGCCAGGGTGCCCATGTTGAACTGCTTCCCAAAGCTGAGAATGCACCTGGCCTCTGCCCCAGCCTGCGCATCCTTGCCAGAATTACCCCCGCATTTGCGTTTTGTGGTCAGACGCACTCTAGGAGCCCATGGCCAGCAGCAGCCACCTTGGGTGGCCGCCACCCCAGCAGGATGTGCTTGGTCCAGAGCCACTGGGTGTGGGCAGTGCATTCAGTGTTTGACCTTTGATGGCATTCCCTGCATCAGAGGGTCCAGGACCTGGGTGCGAGTTAATGTTCCAGGGCCCGGCACGGGCTTTTCTCGCCCCATATCAGAGTGAAGGGGAGAGTCAGTGCTCTTAGAAGACAATACAGGCTGCTTGTTTGCTGGGAGGGGGCAGCAGGCAGCCCCGCGGGGCATGTGCTCTGGTTTGCAGGGCGAGTGGGCAGGCACGTAGGCGCCGCAGCGAGGACCAGATGGGGTGTCTGCAGTGGGCATGAGCAGGCTCACAGGAGGTCAGTGCCGTCAGACTCTGGGCAGGTTGGGTGGGAGGTGGGTTGGGGGTTCACAGTTCTGTGGGCATGAGCCGAGGAGTCCCTAATGGGGGCTGAAAGGGAGGGGTGGTGCCAGCAGGCAACACTGAGTTTGGGGTTGCGGGAGCGCTGAGGCAGAGATGCTCTGCTAGTGCTGGAAGGGCCAGCTTGGAGCTCAGAGTGGGGGGAGACGCAGGGGGTGGGTTTGGGGGCAGTGCCGTGCACAGACGTGACAAAAGGAGGTAAAGGGCTGTGTGGGGTTAAGGCAGGAGAGACCCACGCATGAGAGGAGGGGCAGAGCTGGGCACCTGGGCAGACCCCCCCCCAGTATGGGGCTGCAAGGATTCGCGTGCAAGCCAGGGGTCCCCAGGCAGTCATGCAACAAGCCTACTGCGCTCATCTCCTCGGGCCGTCAGGCCTGAGGATCACATAGAACTTCCTTGCCTTTTATCTTTGCAAGTTTTGTATTTAATAAAAAGAGCATGCCCTGGCTTGTCAGATACGTTCTGCTTTAATACGCCCGGATCGAATGGCTAACCCAGCGGCAGGATCCAATCAACACGTATCTCAGCCTGGGTCCCAGGATCGATCCGCCCTTCCCCTTGGAGGGTGTCATTCACACCTGTGTCCCGAGGACACCTGCTCTGTGCTGCTCATGTCTAGTGATCCCGCCCACATGGCTTGTCCGGAAGCTCCTACTCCCTCTGGATGCTCCCAAGCGCATCCCTGGAAGGGCCGGTCCCTGCTGCCAACACTGTGCAGAGTTTGTCTTAACCTTTCTTTTTTGTATGGTGACTCGAGCACTCGGCATGAACTCTCAGCCTCGCTGCTTTTCCGCAGTCCTCTGCCAGCCGCCAGTGAGTGTTATTGTCTTTGTCCCTCTCGGCAGGAACTGGTGGTGGCTCTGAGTCATCTCGTCGTTCAGTACGAAAGCAATTTCTGCACGGTGGCCTTGCAGTTCATGGAGGAGGAAAAGAACTACCCCCTTCCTTCTCCAGCAACCACAGGTACGGCGTCGAAGCTCAGGGAGCCTGCGGGGACCCCAGGTCAGGACCACAGCTGCCCTCCCCTGTGCTGGGGCCTGAGCTCGCTGCCCGCTCTGAGTGGCCCCTGTGACTCCCGTCCTGCCAGGCACTTAGCAGAATAGAAAGGGTAGCAAGAGGAGCCACACTAATTCTCTGACTCTTTTCCTTCCTTTTTACCATTTTTGGAAATCAAATTCATGGAGATATTGAAGGAGAGCGGAACGTGTGCAGTGGGGCTCACAGAAACGTAGGTCAGCTCTTCCTGTGATGAGCTGTTGCCGGTTTCCTGTTCATGAGTCACGTTAGGCAGCTCCTTTTCTCCCATTTGTCCTTTTTGCTGGATTTCTGTTTCTTTGTGTTGGGCTGCCCCCTCCCCCAGAGCGCAGCTTCTCTGCAGGAAGGAGGGCTCGTGATCAATAACAAAAGCATCACTGTTTTTAGGACGTTAGGGAAGGGAAATGAAAATGAACTTGCTCAGTGGAAACAGCTGGTGCGCTGGAGGAGGGCAGGGGCAGCAGAGGGGAGGGCCTGTGGCCCCGACCAGCCACTACTCTGCTGTCGTCTGTAGGGCAGCTGCCCGCGGCCAAGCCACAGAGCGCCTGGCGCTGCCCTCAGGGCAGCCCCGGTCGCCAGCCCTGCTCTGAAAGGTCTGTTATAACGGCGTCCCGCACCACAGCAAGCATGGGCTCTGGTCGTCTGCTCCGTACACCTCCCCTTCCCGCCCGGCCTGCCTGTGTCCAGCTTTGTCCGGCTGACCCGACATGCGTGCGTCAGAGGCCCTCACTGAGTGATGGGCCTGCCGGTGGCGTTCGCGCTGGTCCGGGTGGGAGCTCCTGTCACCTGCTGTTGCAGCCCCCTCAAGGCCGCCATTAACTCTTTCTTCTTTTCCCAGAGGGTGGGAGTTTGACCCCAGTGCGGGACAGCCCGTGCACCCCCAGACTCCGCTCCGTGAGTTCCTATGGAAACATTCGTGCCGTCACCACCGCCAGAAGCTTGAACAAATCCTTGCAGAATCTGAGCTTGACAGAAGAATGTAAGATGTTGGAAATCGGATCCTCGGGTCGGGACAGTCATGGGTGTGATTTTCTGAAACTACATACACCGGGCCCCACCCTTTCCCTGCCCTGACCGCATGTCCCACGGTGCCATCTGCTGGCCCTGGGGTCTCGCTGTGGCGCAGGCGCGGCCGCAGAGGAGGCCGGGGTGGGGGGACCACGTGGGAGGCGCACGTCTCTTCCGGGTGGCCGTGCTGACGTGCCCCCCTCCGTGCTATCCGGGCCAGCGGGCAGCTCGGTGGCCTTCTCCCCTGGAAACCTCAGCACGAGCAGCAGTGCCAGCAGCACCCTGGGCAGCCCCGAGAACGAGGAGTACATCCTGTCCTTCGAGACCATCGACAAGATGCGCCGCGTCAGCTCCTACTCCGCCCTCAACTCCCTCATCGGTGAGTGCCGCGCCCGGTTCCCGCTTGCCCCGCCCACCCGCCCGCGGTACCCAGGGCTCGCCCACCGTGCGTGCCAGGTCGCGGGACGCGGGGACCGTCCTAGTCGGGCAACAAGCGTTAACTGGAGTGTGGAGGTGCGAGGAATGTGTGCTGCAGGCAACCGGAAGTTCCAGTCCCTTTAATTTTGTTCTGATGATATGTACGGGCCGTTCTGGGTGTGTGCGGGAAGGCTGCCAGAAGCTTCCGTCTGCCGTAGCCCGGTGGCTGTCCCTGCAGTCATCTGCCCCAGGAGAGCCCTCGTCTGACCCAGCCCGGCGGGCCTCTCCCTCTCGACCGCCCAGCGTGGCTTCCCAGGCCTCAGCTGGAGTTTTAGTTAATGTTGAGAAACGCTCTACGTGTAAAAACGTAGGGACACTAACGTAACGCCCCTCCATGTGTGTTTTGCTCCTGATTTAAGGAATCACAAACAGAGCCGAATCCCCGGAGCTTGTCCACGGTGTCCGTGCTCATTTACTGTCTGCGAGCCCCCAAAGCACGGTGCCCCTTACAGGCCGCAGACTTCGCGGGAACCCTGTCCTACGGCTCGCATCCCGCGGGGTGGCTCCTTCCCGCTGCTTTCTGTCTGTGCCGGGCGCTGTTCTGCTGCTCCACCAGCCCCTCCTCGTCTGCCAGGGTTGACTTACCTGTTCTGTGGGCTGAGGGCCTAACCTCGAGTCCTCCCTCCAACCATCACAGGATTGTTCGGACCGTTTCTTCCTAGGTTAGCTTTGGCACCTTATGTTGCTCCAAGATGCCCGTTTCAGTCGAATGTTCTCACTCCATGGAACTGTGCAGAGTGTTCTCCTGACTTTGTAGCCTCTGTTGTCTCCGGACACGGGCCCCTGTACTCCTGTTGCTGTTTGTGTACTTCTGCTCCTTATTCGCAAGTAACCCCACAAGACATTTGTTCGTTTCCCTGGTGTCTCCAAGTCCCAACTTCTGCTTTGTCGATTTCTTCATTAGATCTGTATGTTTGTTTTGGTAACTTTGTTTCATTATTCCTTCTCTTTTCTTTCACTTTTCTCCCTCGTCCGTTTTCATTTCTGGAGTTGAGAATGGAAATAGCTCATGCGCTGGTGCTCTTTCCTGTGTTCCGACGTCAGCGTTCACATCTGTGATCTCCCTGTCTGCTGATGCCCCCGTTCTAAGTCGTTGGCTTATTTCTGTGGCGAGCCCTGTGCCCTAGCGTTACACTCTCCACACCGCGTGGTGATGGTGGTATTTCTGACTTACGGCCGTGATCTGGAGGGGGCAGGGCCATGGTCCCTGCGTGAACCACACCAGTCTGCCCCTCTGCTGGAGCAAGGCTCAGGACGTCTGCCATGATCCCTGCAGGTCGAGTCCATGTGGTGTCCCATCAGGGCCTGGATGGGCTATGGGTTCCAGACGTGGCCACTGTGCCCCCCAGGGTGGCAGGAACCGGAAAGGGATCTTTGCTCACCAAACATGCCCACCCACCAAGAACTTAGCTCAAAAATACCAATGTGAATTGTCCATCTAAACAGAAATAACATCACAGATTTGTGCGTTTGGTTGTTTGCTAAAATATCCCAAGTGCCCAGAAGGCATAGGGCTGATGCTCGGCATGAACACGGGTTCTGCTAACTCACCAGTAAAATACATTCTGAGTGTCACTTGCAAGGTGTTTGTTTTGAACTAGAACATGTTCTTTTAACATACTCAACATTGTGTATAGTGGCTAAGTTCCCAGGCTGGCCCCACAGGAGTCTTTTAAAACCCAGGTTGATATGAGTCTGAATTAGTACTTCTGTGTATGTATCAACAATGAGAAAACATGAAGTAACAGGAGAAACTCAGTGAAACAGAAATGCACCATGTTGTGGCTCTGACCCACCAGCCAGGTGAGCTCAGCCGCTGCACCCCCTTCCCCACCCTCCCCGCCCCAGAGTCAGGGCTACCCGCACCTCCCACCCTCTCGCCAGAGCAGGGGTCGGCAGGCATCCTCTGCAGAAGACCAGATAGCGCACATTTTCAGCCTTGCAGGTGGCACAGAAATAGCCACGAGGGGGCAGGTGAACAAATGAATCGGGCCACGTTCCAGTCAGCCTTTACTTAGGAACTAGAACGCAAATTTCACAAAATAGTCACAAGTCACACAACGGTTTTTTTCGAACCACTTAAAAAGTGTAAAAACTATTCTTACTTTGCAAGCCATATAAAAACAAGCAGGCGGTCCGCCGTTTGCCCTGAGGCCCGCCAGAGCCCGCGTGTGGGACACGACCTTCCTGCCCTGCGGGGTCAGCAACATCCCCTGCTGCTCTTTCTCAGGATGTGCAGGCTCATTCATTCATTCAGCCGTGTTCTAAGTGCCACCAGCGTGCCCGGCTTCCAGAACACGCCGCCATGGAAGAAGCACAGAAATGCCGCAGACCTTGAAGCTGGTTGCCGCACCGGGCATCTCCACTCCCACCCCACCTTCACTGCAGGGACCACAGTGGACCCGGGGCCTCGGCCCAGAGCCAGGTGTCGTCCGTGACTCCTCTCTGTCCCCTCACCCCTGCATCCCGGCCTCGCTACCCAGGCCAGCATCCCCCTGCGCTGGCTCCTGCAGGATTCTCCTGAGTGGCCTCCCCGTTGCCTTCCTCGGGGCCTCGTCCTGACCCGCGTCCTGCCACATGGCACACATCCAGGTGCCTTGGAGTCCTGCCTTCCGGCACCGCCTGCAACCAAGGATGCACATCCACTCTGCGGCCCCCTGTTCACACGCATGGCTGGCCGTCAAGAGAAGAAATTGTTAAAACGGAAGCCACACCAGCTTCCGAACTCACAGAAACACGGCTTCTGTCACATGTCAGATGGAACCAGTGCGAGAGGGATTGAAGTCACGTGTCGTCAAGGGACCATTGAGAACTTTCGTCAGAAGGTTCCCATTGTCTGTGGCACGTCGCCTTCTCCGGGGTTTAAAGACCGCGTGTGCTGGCCGAGGCAACAGCAGGTTCAGGCCGCGGTGCCCAGGCCACATCACAGGGCACGTGTGGAGTTGCGCTGTGCACCTGAGGTGGGACTCCTGCCTGGGACACAGCGCCGCTCTCTCGTGAGTGGACACCCTGTCCTGGGTGCTGGCGGGGGAAGCGGGTCTTGGCGGTGCAAGGATGAAGAATGTCACCGGAGGCCACATCAGGCCGAGAGTACGGCAGCTGCCCGGGAAGAGGCAGGCACTGTCCGTCTCCAGGCCACACAGCGCAGCCCCTCCCGCCACTGCCCTGCCTGCGGTCTTCCTCCAGAGAGCCGGCAGCCCCATCACCCCTATCTTCTTGCTCACAAATTCTGACTCCGGAGAAAGCTGAGTGTTATCTCTGTATCAGTCAAATCTTTGAAAACTTGAGTGGAAAGTTCTAAAATGAGCTGGAGTTGATGGAGCCGCCTCATGCATATTCCATGAGTTAGCGTTCCCATCCAGCACACGCGCTTAGAACGCGTCACCCACCGAGTCCCATTGCTTGCAGCTCTCACCTGCTTGAAGACAGTTTTCTGTCTCATTTCAACCAAAGGACGGCAATCTCTCTAGCCTCTCACTGAATATTGCAAAAGAGGTTTTCAAAACCGTGGCAACCTAGGGACGTCCATTTATTCCCACCTTTTCCCGAAATGCCAGGCCCTCCAGCTCCCCTCCCAGCCCCCTCCCTGCTCTGTCGCTGCAGGCGCTCCCCATGGTCTCGCCTGCTCTCCACATGTCCAGGAACGAATTCCCCGGAAGGGACCTGGGCTTCCCTTGACCCCATCTGGATCCCCAGCACCTGAAGCATGCCAGCCTGGTGTCCGTGGGGCTGTGCCAGGACCCAGTCTCCGTAGCCCCTCACCTCTGGAACCCCATATGTCTCTGACTCACCAGCCATCTGGCCTGACTCCCACGTGGGCCCCCAGTCGGTCCTCCCCATCTCTGGGCCCCCGCACCCTAGGACAGGTCTCAGCACACTGCATGCCAGGACCCCCCTCAGATCTTGCCCACGTGCCTACAGACTGCCAGGCTTGTGTGATGGCAGCCAAGCACAGAAGCCTCCGTGAAAACCGCACTTGCTGTCAGCTCCAGACTCAAGGCCTTGCTCCTGCAGACAGCCCTCACCTTCATCATCAGCCCTCCCAGTGCACCCACTGCTGTCCTCCTCCCTCAGGCTGGATGCTGGCCCCTGAGTGAGGCACGGACAACCTCTCTGACCTTACCGCATGGCCTCTCCAAACCAGCAGCGCCTGGTCCTCACTGCAGGTGACATTCTGCATTCCCATGGTGGGGAGGGAGGAGGAGGGTCCCTGACCCACCGTGATGTGACCTCGCCATCTTTATTACTCGGTTTTGGTGAAGCTGCCATTTCTTGCTCCCCTGTGCTGCAGGCAGCCCCACGGGCCCCTCCCGCTCTGAGCCTCACCCCATCAGAGCGCCCAGAGGTGGGAGTGGGAAGGGTGGGGAGACACGGCCCGTGCCTGTGCTGACATCGGGGCCCACATGACGCACCCCTCCTGCCTGCCCCTGGGCCACCCTCCCGCCCCAGGCTTTCAGTCACCCTGCTGCACGCCCCAGGTCCTGGGGGGCAGGGACGGTCACTCTGCTTCTTCACAGGAGTGAGTCACAGCCTGGAGGGAGTGAGGTGGGGTCATTTCTGTTCTGGGGATTCGGGAGCAGACTGCGGCGGCCGTGGGCACTCTCACCCCCAAAGCGCTTGCTAGCCACAGTCAGAGGCCTGGCCGAGGTGGGACGATCACCCCCCTGCGAAGTTTTGTGACCGTTGATACCACCTGAAGTGTCTTCCCATAGTGACGAATCCAAGCTGGAGCTGGGCTGGGGAGGGGAGAGCGAGGAGTCAAGCTCTCGCCAGCCTGGAGCCTGCCCCCACCCAGCTGTGCGCCCAGAGCTGGGCCCAAGTTCCTGCTCAGAACCTGGGGGTCAGGGCCACTGCCCTCGGGGCACAGAGAGGAGCGGAGGGACGGAGTCGGAGCCACGGGCACTGCCCACCCCACTGGAGAAGGAGGCCTGGCGAGCAGAGCCACCTTCCCATCGGCCCCTGGGGGCCCTGCTCAGCCGGAGGCCACTTGTCCCTGTTGCATCATGACTGGCCAGGAAGTAGCATTTCCTCTCTCTCACTCCATCTCCCCACGACCTCGAGAAGTCCTAACAGAGGAGGCCTTTGCGAGCCCCTAGCAGCCCTGGGGACCCCAGAGCCGCGAGCTCTGAGCACGAAGAGCAGAGGGGCCAGGAGAGTGCAGGGCCCCATCAACCAGGAGGAGGGGAGCGTGGTTGTCTCCAGAGGAGCTGCGCACGATCCCGGGGAAGGTTTTATGGCCCATTAGTTTGATTTCTCGCTGCAGGGGAACGGCGGTGAGAGAGCGAGCGGTGTTGTTTTCTGTCGCCACAACATCAGTTATATTTTTATGGCCACAACGCTTGATTAAAGGCCATTATTACGTGTGTCTTGTAGGGACCCTGAGGAACATGGCAGACAGGACTATGCACACAGGGGTGGCTGCCCAGTCTAGACGATGCTCCGGCCTCGGGGCCTTGGGGCCAGGACTGCTCACGCCTCCCGTGGGCAGAGGGAGGAAGTGACGGGCTCCTGAAGGGGCTCCATCACCAGGGGCAGCCCAGCGACAGGGTCGCGTCATAGAGAGGGGTGAGGGCAGCGGCCCCAGGCTTTGGGCGCTGGTTGCTGGACAGGGCAGAGGCTCTCGGCCCACATCAGCTCTTAGAGCGTCAGCATCAGGGACCCATGAGACCCAGGGAACGAGTGGCAAGCTCCAGCTTCTCCTTTTTCTGAGCGCCTCCAGCCAGCCCGGGGGCTTCTGAGATCCAGAGTTGGCCACAGAGCGCCGAGCAAATTTTCCTACATCTTATGCTGTTTAGAAAGTTGTAGCCGTTGCTCTGAAAAATAAATGTAAAGCCATTAGTTATGATCTTTTATTACTTTTGGTCTAGACGTGGAAATAGGTTCTCCGTGCTCATGAGGAAGGAGTTGAGTGAGTGCCAGACGCAGGCGCCCTTCCCGAGCATTTAACAACCTAGAAGCCTCCCTGGCCCCCGGAGGGCTGACTCAGGCGTCCTGCGGCACCCCTGGGGGCTCCCGCCACTGCCGCACTCCTTCACAACCTTGCGTTGGGTTGGCAGCCGCTTTACGAGCAGGGCGGCCGAGGGCGCGGTGGCTGGACTGAGGGACGGGGTAAAATGCACAGACCACTGCTCTGTGCCAGTTTCATGTTTTCACCAGCAAATACACCATTCACTGTGGCCAAAGACCCTGGCAAAAACTAGAGCCTTTTCATTCTTTGTTGAATCACAACTGTTCTATCAAAATCAAAATCTTCTGCAAAAAAAGGCCACAACAGTAATAAAAATCAAAATTCTGTGACGGGACGGATGGTAACGGCCACCGTGTCCCACGCTTCCTCGGTGCGTGGCATGCCTCGCCCCTGCCGGCGCTGGTCTGGTGCCGCCACGCCCTGTACCCCTCCTCGCATTTACGCCAGAGGCACTGCTGAGCGAGGGTCTGGTTGGTCAGGCAGCTACTCTCTGACTGGCACACGGGTAACAAGCTCCTTAGCGCCGCGCCCCCGTCCTCCCCGCCCCGGGTGCTGTGGCGATGTGGCGGGGTCTGTCATCTGCAGCGCACCCCCTTGCCGCTGTCTGTCCCATGGTGGCCACGCTTCGGGGAAGCTGAGCCCAAGACTAATGGAGAGGGTGGACTTCCACACAGTGGCTGTGATGAGATTGAGGGGCCTTCCCAGAGCCTCTGGGTCAGTGGTGATGAAGAGGACCCCCCACCCCACACGGGGGCTGGTTCTCCTTTCCCTTCTGAGCGCACTGCCTCCCTGAGAGTGACCGCCCGGTCCCCGTAGGCCATGATCCCACAGCCCTCGTGCAGGTGACGTGGGAGCCACAGCTTCGTGGAAACAGTGCTTACGTCATGCGGGGTGCAGTTCCTGCCGGCGGGCACTCTGCCACGATACGGAAGTGGGTTTTAGCAAATGCTCCCAGAGTTCCTCAGACTTTGGTCATAAATCTGGATGGCTGTCCTACAGCCGTGGAGTCAGGGTCGAAGGTGTTCATCTGGTCCTGTCTCTAAGTTAAAGGGTGAGGGGAAACAGCGCACATTTCCGCATGGGTCGCTCACCCTGACGCGGGCTCCCCTCCAAGCGAGACCTCTCACCGACCGAAGTCCAGATTTGTACGAGCCCTGGTCCCCAGAGGGGAACCCTGTCCGACCCCCAGGGCCACGAAGCCCATGTGAGCCGCCGTCCGCACACACGCGGGCACCAGAGCAGGCTGCTGATGGCACCTCCCGTCCCAGGCAGCGCCGCCGTGCCTTTCCACACGGTCACTGCGAGGCCAACTCGAGAGAGACGGGGCTTCCTCCGCCCCTGCGGGCAGCAGGTGTGCGGCTGTGTGGACGTGAAGCCGTGCCGCCTCCACCTCCGGAGGAGAGGCTGTGGGCTGAGATGAGCGAAGGAGCCTGCTCCTGTGCCTCGTCCGGTCTGCCTTTGATTTGGTCGGGTGCAGCCCGTTCCGTGTGAACAGCCGTGTTTATGAAGAGACGCTCTGTCCTCCGACAGACATCCTCGGTCCCCTATGCCGTCCTTCACCCAGGGGAGAGGGGCTGAGCTGGCCAGCCCGATGACCTGGGGTCTTGGCTGATTCAGATCATGCTCTCTTCGTCGCTTTCTGCGGCTGAACAAGCCCTTGTCAACAAACCATCGGCTCCCCCAGATAAAGAGGATGCAGTTACGTGCTGCTCTCTCCAGCTCGTCACGCCGTCCGTGAGAGCAGGGCCCTCCCTGCGTCTGGCCCCCAGCTTCCCCTCAGCAGTGAGCCAGGGTGCGGCGTCCACACTGCTCCCCACTCCTGGCCCCGGCTCACCCCGCCGCTCCCCAGGCTGCCCTTCCCCTTCTTGCCTGTGCAGACCCTGTTCCACGGCCCCTCCTCCCAGAGGCCTGCACCTGGCCCCACCTGCTCTGTCCCCTGGGTCTCTGAGCTGCCCCGCCGTTCTGACTTGCACACCCAGGTCGTGGTCGTGCCGCTTCTCCAAACGCTCCGTGCATTCCTGTCACCTACGTGCCAGTCCGTTGTCTGCTCTGCTGACTTCCCTTTAGGAAAGGCTTTGCCAGGAGGACAGTCCTGTTCGCCTCCAAAGCCCCCGTGTCCTCTTCCATAAAGCCGTCCTGGCTCCTGACAGAGGAATCACCTTCCTGGAGCCGCCACAGCAGCAACGTTGTAGACGCGGCAGGGGCTGAATGTCAGACGGGGGGCATTTGAGTCCTTCATCCTTTGGACCCTGGTCTCACTGTCCCTCTGTTATGCTGTTATGCCCGGATAGTGCCAATGGCTGAGGTCACGAGGGTCTGATAGGGCTGAACACCCCCTGGGGAAGGCCCTCGGTGACATTCCTTCCTTCACGTCTGTGATGCACCCTGTCCGGGTTTACATCCTGTCTCCTCTGCCGTGGCATCCAGCTCTGCAGACCGGACCTTGTGTAGCCTGGTGGGGACCTGGAGGGCTTGGGTCACATCATATACCCCCTTTGCGATTTCCTGGGAACTCAGGACAGTACCGCGTGTGGTGTGTGGACAAGACTCAGTGAGTCACGGCCCAGAGCACGCCCCGAGTGCAAGAAGGGTGTACATGGGACTCCTATCCAACACTCGTAGCTCACGTAGGCCATGATGGCTCCTAGAAACCTAGGCGTGAAATCAAGTGGTCCTCAGGACCTAGGTAGTGCTGTCCAGCCAGCCAGAGCTTCAAGGAAGGCCAGCCTTTTCTAACTCACTCTTCCTTCTAGAAAGATCCAGTCTCAGAAGATGAAGTCATCAAGCCTATTTGCCAGCTGGGACTCCTGAATTTCTGGGCCCCTGACCAGACAACAAAATACGAGCCTCCCATAGCCCCAGCTCTTTGAAGTGTCTGTTCCCGGCAGCAGCTAGGTCTTCAGAAGCCAGCCAAGCACACACGGGCAGCTATTTATTACTGAAACATGCCATTTCTCTCTCCTAGGAGTTTCCTTTAACAGTGTTTACACTCAGATTTGGAGAGTCTTACTGCATCTGGCTGCAGACCCCTATCCCGATGTATCTGACTTGGCCATGAAAGTGCTCAACAGCATCGCCTACAAGGTATGTGTGACGGCGTTCCCGGCAAAGCTCGCGAGTTCCTGGTCTTAGTTACAGATATTCACGTGGGGAACCCCAGGCGCAGTCAGGTCTACACCATGGTTTAGAGACTTCCAACAGGCGCTTCACGGTGTACCCTGATCTCTGTTTACGGGTAGCTTCAGTTGGGGCGCTGTCCTGCTTCAACTTAGCGGTATTGGGGTGCCAGGATGTTAGGTAAGGGCTACCGTTACCCTCGTGATCCTGTCAGGGTCTGTGTGGTCTGTAACGACGTCCCCTTTGGTTCCCAATACCAGTGATTTATGGCTCCTCTCACTCACAACCGTTCTGGCTAAAGGAAACCTTAAAGAACCAGCTTTTGGTTTCGTTACTATTTCTTTGTTGCTTTTTACATTCCATTTTATCAGTACCTCTTTTTATCTTCATTACCCCCTTCCTTTTGTTTATTCTGAGTGTAACTTGCTCTTCTGATTCCAGTCTTTTCAGATGGAAGCTGAGGTCATTACCTTTGCCTAAAAGTGTGTGACACACAGAGGTGCCTCGAGACCTTGTTTTCTCTCTGAGACGTAGGACAGCCTCCCGGCCATGGCCAGCCCAGCCGTGGCTGGCACTTGTTCATCAGGTGCTCCCGTCATCCTCCCCCCACCCTTGGTTATTCTGGTCACGATGAAACCAGTATTCAGCTTCTATAAGTTTATTTTTCAGTGGCTTTTATGTATTTAACCTTACAGAAAATCAACCTGAATTATTTAAAAATATAATTTCAGTGCCTAATCTTAAAATTTAACGACTGTAAATTCATCGCAGTAGACCTGACGTTAGGAAGTCAAATGCACTCCTCTTAGGAATCTCTCTCTAGCACGTAAAGCATAGAAACCACATCTCCATGTTTCTTTCGATTATGTGTCAAGTGTGTAGCCATGAGCCACAGACTCCCCTCACCCCCCTTTACGGTAATTAAACGCCGTATGTATAACCGCTCCTACCAGGCAAAGCCACGCTAGCAGGTTGCAGGAACCAGAAACATAGCCTTTCGTGCCTTCGGAACAGCACTCTCTAATGGATGCTTAAAAGTGGCAGGTGGCTCTCTGCCTGCTGAGCTGATCTAGACGGACACACGCGTCCCAGGGCACGTGGCTGGCACACCCACGGGCGCGCCCAAGTGGAAGGACAGAGATCAGAGTGGGCCTCCGCTCGAGTCCATGCTTCCCGGAAGCTGTGCTCAGCCACAGCGTGGTCTGCGTGAGAGTCTGAGTGCATCCGTGTGTGTCTGTGTGTGTTCATTTTTAAGAGGAAACACTGCTACTGAAAGATTTGGAAGCGCAAACATGAAAGAAACATTTTCTTGTCCTCAATTTAATTTAAAAAATGTCTTACTCTCTAGTAGCTAACGAGGGGATTACATTTCAGTTTACAGAGAAGTGGACCTATTTTTGATATTCAGCTCTGAAAGCAGATTTTTGTTCATCACAGTCAAAACAGTCATATTACTCTGGAATACCCCATAGAATTCTGCATTCAAATATAGAAATTGCTACCAGCTCAAGAACCCACACAGCTCAAGAGCTATGGCCTAATTTCAAGTATTTACATCCCCTTTCCACACAGGCTGGGGGTTTGCATTATGCCTGTAGTTTTTATTATGGAAAATTTCAAACCACGTAGAAGTACAAAGAAGAGCGTGAAGACCCCCGGGAACCGTGTCGGCCCCAGCGACCTCCCTGGCGCCTCCCCTGTCATCTGTGGTTTGAGAACACCCGGAAGGAAATTTCAAGCTACTGGGGTTCAAATGTCAGGGTCACATGCAATAATAATCACTACTTTTAATACTTATGAGAAAATTTATAAGCACATAAACTCACCTAAAAATAGTCCGCCAGCGACTCCACACCCAGGGAACGAGCATGCGGTCGCTGCACCTGCTGTGGGATGCGCGCAGCCGGTGCAACGAAGATCAGAGGTCGGCCTGCGTGGTTGGAGGCTGAACGCCTTTCTTACAGACCGAAGGCCTAAGCGACCAAGAAACACAGCCAAGGTTGAGATCGTCCCCAAAACAGCACCTTCTAAGGTACCCACGAAACTGCGATTAAAACGCAGCTCGTAAGTTCATAGCATCAGCTTCTTGACGTGTCTTTTAAAATTCTCCTGGTGCAGGGACTCCCTCCCCCTCTGGGTAGCAGCCTCAGCTAACACCTGCGAAGCCGCTGTGCTCACCCCGAATCCGACTTCACCCAGCGGGCTTGCAGTGAGCTTCCAGGCCAGCGACACGCAGAGCGCCTGATGCAGGGACCCCACACAGGCACCTCTGCATCCGTCTTTCCGTGGGCTCCGTGTCTGCGTGTAAACGTCCTGCCTTCACACAAGTCCAACAGCTTTCAGCTTCCAGAGGTGGGGGTTCTGTGTCGGCATCTTCCCCCTAGAACCATCCCTCTGCTGTTGGAAGGCCGCAGGCTCCCCAGCTCAGCACCTCCTCCCCGGAAGGCCCTCAGCTGCCCACCCCCCCGCCCCCATGACTCAGAGGCGCCAGTCCCAGGCCTCCGCCCTGTGTGCCCCCGGCCTCCCCTGCCCCACTGCTTCCCGCCGCCTCCACCAGGAGGGACTCCGAGAACCGTCAGGCCAGTGCAGGTCCTGGGAGCAGGAAATCACAGCAGTCCTAGCGAACCATTCGTGACTGAGAGGCATCTGCGTGTATAGTTTGAACCTTCTCGTGCACCTGCCTGTTCCCGCCTCCCTGCAGACCCAGGGGTGACGGTGTCATCACTCAGACTAGCTTAGCTTACAGAAGTAGGTGCTGCCCCTATCTGAGAGTCACTGGCCCGTGGGCCCTGCCAGGCCAGGTGCAGGAACCAGGCCCCAGGAGAACTGGTCCCCTCAGGGATTCGGACCCAGTGGCTCTGGGATGGCCTCTGGGAATCTGTTTCAGAGACTCTGCTCTGGGCCCTCTTGCGTGTCCTGCACAGGGACTCGTGGCCTCAAGGTACTGGGTGGCTGTCCAGGCCCATGGGTCCCATTCTAGCTCCATCAGCCTTCAGCCCGTTACTCACATCCCCCAGCCCATCTGCAGAGTTGGGCTCGTTGTAGGCCGTGCGTGATGGTAAATGCAATAATCCTGTGAAGCAAAGCGAAACACTAGTGTCTCCTTCCTTCTTCTTTGTCCTCCTTACTCTATGCACATGCTGCTTCTCCGAGGTGCACTGGTCCTGGAAAGGGAGCTGGTGAGACCCCCCGGCCTCAGCCCTGCCGGCTTCTCTTCCTGGGGGGCCAAAGACTGAGGCTTTTCTGATGCTTGTCAGTGACCGTGGGGCAATGCCTCCTGGTCACCATCGTTCTTGCCACCGAACACTCCCTAGGACTCAGCCTTCCAGAGGGAGACTTATGTTGTTTATCTAGGAACTACCACTTACAGAAAAATTATTTCTTGGATCAGTAGACTCGTGCTTTTATAGGTGTCTTCTCCGTGACCAAGCAGCCAGGGGGCTCTGCATCCCACCTAGCCCCAGATTACCTCCGGATGATCCTTGTGGGAAGCACCTTCTCACATGAGTCCAGATCCTTGCCCTGAAGTTGACAACACAGTTCCTGCAGGTGCCACACTCCCCCCAGGAAAGAGCATCAGAAGCCTGCGCCAGCGTCCTGAACCCGACTCTGTCCGGCCCAGTCGGGAACTCCGCTGTCCAAAGTCACCACACTGCTTTAGGGCCTTTTTCTCTGCACTGGGTCAGACTTTGTGTGCCCTTGTGAGGTGATGTGTTTCGGTGGAAGAACCAGAGAGTAACGGAGCTGGGGACAGAGGGGCCCGCCGCAGCCCCAGGCTCCTGCCCCAACCCCCCGTTAGCTGCACAGGGCAGGGAGCAAAGGTGGGCTCGTGTGTGCACACGTGTGTGTGTGTGTATGCATCTGCATGTGTCCCTGTGAACCGTTTCTGTGTTTGCACTGGGCCCAGAGAATACATCTGACCTGAGAATTTGGCTTGTAACAAAGTAACGGTTGCCGCCTCTGAGAGCTTGACCCGTAGCCATGACCATCCCCTCCCTGCGGCCTTTGCTCATGTGGTTTTGCCACCTGTCAGGGCGCACCTGCCCCTCCAGTGGCTTCAGGGCCGCGTCCTGGAGCAAGGATAACAGCAAGTCTTCACCATGAGAAGGACGAGCAAGGGTGGAGTGTGTGCAGGGCGGACGGGGGCTCACGGCCAGGCCCAGTCCTCAGTTCGGAGCCTAAAAGTGTTGTTACCCTTCTGAAGCTGACCTTCTCTGGCGGCGTGCTCTCTGTGTGAAGCGACAGCTGGGACCAGCGCGGGAAGGAGCCACTCCAGACAGCCTCTGCGGCTCCCCGGCTCTCCACCTGCCCCTCGTACCCTGTGTCCCCAAACCCGGTTTGCAGACAGGCGGGTCCACTCACGCTCACCCCTACACGCCTACACCGCACACCTGATCAAGGCCGAGTCAAAGTCAAAGGTAGAGCCGTTGGGCTAAAAAACAACTTCCTTGAAGCCTTAAGCCTTGTGATCGCCAGTGTGAAGGCTGCTGGCATGCCCACCGCTCAAGATTTCTAACACGGACACGGACGGAGAGTTATGTGGCAGCCGTGGGTGTGGACGGCGTGGACACGGGACCATGGATGCCCCTTCCCGGATGCCCCGGCAGAGGGACCAGGGCCCGGTTAGTCTGCAGGGCCTCCTGAGGGGCAGAGAGCTGGCTGCAGGCCTGGGAGAGGCAGGTGGGAGGGTCTCGGGGGCCACAGGGAGAGGGGGTGGGCTCCACTGAGTCTGGGGGCCGGCAGAGAGGGGGTGGGTTCTGCTAAGGTCTGCATCTCAGCACAGAGGTTTTCTGTCTCCCCTGCCACCACCCCCGTCTCTGGAACTTTGGGGAGACACATGGAAGTTGACAGTTTCTTAGATTCTGCACTCTACTTAGACCACTTGGGGGGGGTCGCTTGGCTCTTGGGTTTTGGGGGGAAGGGAGGTGGCCAGATAATTTAAATACAAAGCAAGTTCACAAACAATATAACTCTTGAAATTCAAAAAAAAATTTTAATGATTTTTTAAAAGTTGATTATGGTTCAGTTTTCTCGCTGTTCTTACTTCAGAGTGGTGGGTTTTCAGGGAAACATTGATGTTCTGTAAATGAACAGTCTTATGGTTGTTCTGTTTTCTGCAGTTTTCTGTCTGTTGTCCGAACGCGGGAGGTACAGCATCCCGACTGCTGAGGGAAGGGTCAGAGTACACGAGGGTCCCCCAGTAGGATGGCCCTACATCATCACCCACGAAGGTTGAGGTTTTATTTCGCCAGGCGGCGGCAGCCAGCTTTGTGACTGAGTCTGGCACCGGCCGCACTCAGGGAGCCCAGATGGTCGCCTCAACCGCCACCTGTCCCGAGTGCCACCTGGGCGGCAGCGTCCACCCTCAGAGCCCCCTCACCTGGGGTGTCCAGAACCAGCAGGGCCCACCTAGCCACCCTGGGCACCCAGAGCAAAACGTCCAGGAGAGAACTTGGCAGATGGTGGGTCTGCCATCAGGCGAGCCGTAAACACCCTTGTTTGCTTGCGCTTCCTGATCACGTGTTCCTCCAGCAGATGTCTGGTTTCCCAATCCACACAAACCCTACTTCAGAAAATCAAAACTAAACGACTTCCCCCCCAAACGCTCATCTCAGGCTGGCACAAATCCTTTTCTTCAGTGAAATGTCAAATACTGCACGTTTGTGGAGGAAGTTTCCGGAACCTGCTACCTCATCTCCATCCACGAGGTGCCGCATCCAGGGACACGGTGTGAGCCCCTGCAGTGGAAAGACAGAAAGTGAAGCCTGGGGTGGTGTTCTCAGCCGTCCCGGGGTGCGGTGCCAGGGCTCCGACTCGCCGTTGACCCTGGCGTGGTCTCGTGGCTGAGGCAGGTGACTTCTAGAAAAGCGGAAGAACACAGTTTTGCCTGCAGGGCCTTCCCATCGGCGTGCACCATCTCCTCGGCCAAGAGGCCTCTTCTCGGGTCATGAAGCCAGCGTTCCTGCTGCTGCCCGCGGCCTCAGAGGTACCAGCAGCTGACCGTCCATATCGCTTGTCCCTTTGCTCTTACAGGCCACAGTGAATGCCCGGCCCCAGCGCATCCTCACCACATCCTCGCTCACCCAGTCGGCGCCGGCCAGCCCCACCAACAAGGGCATCCACATCCACCAGGCAGGGTAAGTGGCCTGTGTCTCTCATGGGGGCCCCTGGCTACAACTCTTCACTGCCTTCCTCTGACCTGAGCCTGACTTCTGCGCCCCCTCAGAAGTTTATAAGCGAGGGTCTGTACCCTGCTGGTCAGCCCCCAGCAGGCAGAGCCCCCTCCTACACCAGTGTCCACAGGCAGGAAGCCCCAAGCAGGTGCGTGCCGCCGCGCCCTCCTAGGGCCCCAGCTGGTTTGCTCAGCTGGGTGTGGCTTGTCTGGGGCTCCCCCAGCTTTCTGGGGAAACAACTCCTAGAACCTGCAGGCAGGGCCTGGAAGGATCATCAGCTTCGGCAGCTGGTGTCTGGAGGCATGGGATGTGTCGGGCAAGTGGGGATGTTTTGGGCTCCTGACCCCGGGTCCGTTGTCAGTGTCTAGGTGGGCAGTGTGAAGACAGGGTATTTCGTGTTTGGGTAAAAAGCATTGTTTCTTCTTCCCGCAACAACAGGGGCTCCCCACCGACGTCCAGCACCAGCAGCTCCAGCCTGACCAACGACGTGGCCAAGCAGCCAGTCGGCCGAGACCTGCCCACAGGCCGCCCTGGTGCCCCTGGCCCTGCAGGGGTGCAGTACACGCCCCACTCCCAGCAGTTCCCCCGCACACGGAAGATGTTCGACAAGGGCCCGGACCAGGTACGCTCGGACCGTTCCCTGGTGCTCATGCTGGTGAACATAGGTGCTGAGCGCCACACGCCTCAGTGTGAGCCAAGACTCTTGAGCCCAGGACGTGGGGGCCACCACACCCTCCACCCCCAGCTGTGGCTCTCGGTTTGGACCGTCATCACAGCTTTGCAGGAGTCACGGGGTCCTCGCTCCTGTGGCCTTTTGTTGTTGGCTCACTGTTCCGGCACCTTTCATGTAGTCAGATAAGCTCATGAGCTAATTTGCTTTCTCCCTTCGTGGGTGAGTACCATTTCCTCCACTGGACGGGGTAGCTGCCCCCCAGAAGTGAAATGCCTGTTCTGAGTGGGGTGTCCGCTTTCTCCGTGAGTGGTCCATTATGACATAAGGAGCCGTGGTCTCGGCCTCTCAGCTGAGATTGCAGGAGCAGGCCCCGCGCCCACCCTGGCTTTCAAGGCCTCCTGCTGTACTCTGTGGAGCAAATACGGCCATGAGCGCCCAGTGGGAGGTTCATCCTCCTGGCTGGACCCTGACATGGGTCAGCTTGACCAGAGCAGCTGGGCCCAGGGGGCGCTCACTGTCCTTGAGGCCGTGAGCCCAGGGCCCTGGTCCAGCCGAGCAGTGCAGGCTCCCACTGCAGGCAGGCGATGAGACCCTATCACCGTGTCCCAGGCGTGGGACTTTCCCCCAGGCGAGGCTCCCCTGGACAATGGGGGCCCCTCTCTGAGGAGCGCCTTCGGTCCCACCACCCCAGCCACCGTAGGCCCTGCCGTGGGAAACAAACGTGTCATCCAGTAAAGCAGCACCACGCACTTTAAGTCTTCATACTTGCATGTCCTTCCCATGCCGGGGCCACTTCACACAGTTGGGTGCCAGATTGCCGGCAGTCCCTGCCCTACCAGACCATGGAGGCCTTGGGGGCCTTGTTGGCCTCACAGCGCCTGGCCTGTGCATCCAATTTAAGAGTGACAGGCTCTGCAGCCCAGGCCACCGTGGCCAGCCCTGGGGGGACACGGTCCCCTGAGCGCAGACTCCATGGCCCTCCCTAACATGGGTTCCCCAGAGCCCCGGCCACACAGTCAGGGTCCCTTGCCACCAGGACGCAGATGTGAGGCCAGCAGAGAAACGTTCTTAGCAGCCAGACCACTGATTTTTGTCTCCTTTCCAATCCTCTCGAACACACAAAGAGGTGTGTGGAGTATCAGACTATTCTTTCTATTTTCTCTCCCCCTTTCCCAAAACGCCTCTGAAGACCACCGACGATGCAGATGACGCCGCTGGACACAGAAGTTTCGTCTCGGCCACGACGCAGACCGGCTTCTGTGACTGGAGTGCCCGGTACTTCGCCCAGCCTGTCATGAAGGTAGCGTGCGCATCTGCCCCGGGTGCAAAGTGGGCCTGCCGTCTGCTTCCTCACGCAGACGCCGGGGTCCGCAGAGCGCTGCGCGGCTCCCTTGCCCTCCTTCCTTCCCCAAGAGCCCCGGCCTCTGGCCTCAGCGGTCTGAGCCCTCTGCTCCGAGCCGATGGCTGACCCTGCCAGGTCTGCTCACTGCCCCAGCTGGCCACCCGATGGCCCAGCCGCTGACCCTCTGGGGCTCCCATTCCATCACATTTACAACTGCTGAAGGGCGACCCCCAACAGCCGTCACGGTGAACAGTCAAAACAGCAAAAGGAACAGATTTCATTTACCTTCCTGTCTTGTCAGAAAAGCCACACCAGCGCAGCCTCTCTGAGCCGCCCAGACAGGTGCGTCACGGTGTCCTGCTCGGCAAGGCCGCTTCCTGGGGAGGGCAGCCCGTGGTCGGGCTCTGGGCTGCTGTGCTGAGGAGCAGGCTTGTCTCGAAGACCCGTCCACCGGGAGCGGTTCTAGTACGTCATTCCACCGCGGCCCCGCAGGAGACGTGTCCTGTCGCCGCAGATTCGAGCCGCGCGTCCGGGGGGCGGTGCATAGTTTCCCGTGAAGCACCTTCTTAGAAAGCCCTCTTCTTCCTCGCAAAGAGCATTGGAAACTGCAGCCTGTTCTCAATCGTGTGGCAAGCTACACGTCTGAGCAAGTTACTCGAGGAGTGCTTGGACCCTTTCTGACAGCTTTTGTCCTGCTTTCCTCTTTCCCCATGACCCTGATTTTTGTCAGTAGAAACATGAGACGGTCATTGTCGGGACCTCAGGCAGATGACAGAGTTGTAGTTTACTGAGCCCCACTGCTGACGGGGGGAGATCCTCCTTCCGTTTTTTTAACTGAGCCCGACTCCCAGAAAGCGGTTTGGCAGGAAGCATCAGAAGCCATGAGCAGCTGCTCCCTTCCACACGGTAATTCACTTGCTGAGATTCTCTCTGAGATTCTCAAGGAGAGAATCAGAGTCACGGATGATCCGCGTGTTATTACCGTAGCGAAAACTAGGATCCACCCAACGTGGGGAGAAAGGCTTAGCAATGACAGAATATTTGATACGATGTTTATTGTTATTAAAGAATTAAGCTTGAAAATTAGTTTCTTAAGGAAATGCTCATGCTAAAGCTTTTAGAAAGGGAAAAAAGCAAGACGTACATCAGCTACAGAGTGGTCCTCATTGGAAACGCAGCGCACACGCATCTGCACACAGACCACGCACTGAAGCAACAGGCTGATGGCGGGTCTCGGGTGATGCATCAGCATGGCACCGAGCGTGTTTATCCTTTTCTGTCTCCTCCGTGTTTTTCACACTAAGCACCAGGTACCTTTATAATCAGGACAAAAGTACAAAAGAGGCAAACGCAGGAGGCGGCGGAGGACTGTGCTACCTTCAGGGCTTTCAGCACACTGGCCGCTGCCGCCAGGAGGGCGCCTGGCCCACCACCCGGGCCCTCGCTAAGAAAGGAACGAGTGAGCGAGTGCTGGGATTTGCACCAGGACGCGGGGGCCCTGGTGCTGTGGGTAGCGAGCCAATCCTTAGAACTCGGTACAGTCTGCTTTGAGGGGCTCTGGGGTTTTGTTCAGTATCTGCAGAAGCTCGGTCTCCCCGACACAGTCTCCTGCGAGCGAGGCCAAGCAGCTGAGAGCCCTGGGGGGGCTGCTACGCCTCTCGCTGAAGTGGCAGCGCCTGTAAGTTACGGGGGTTTCTCGGTGCGGTGATAAGCGGCTTTTCTTGACATCTGAAAAACGCCGTTCCAGCCGTCCGCGTTGATGGCAAGGAGAAGGGGCACAGGTCACCAAGCTCCTTCCTCTAAGCCTGAAAACGAGTGTGTCCTCCCAGGGTCTGGTTTCCTCTCAGCGCGGGGACTGCGGCCAGTGCTAAAACGGGGCGCCTCCCAGGAGCACGGTCGGCACACGCAGAGCCGCTTCCTGAGTGCAGGCCTGGGGCTTTGGTCCCGTGCTGCCCGCATGCACGGCTGCAGTCAGCTTCCCCCGCTTCCCGTTAGCTGCAGACCCGCGGCCTTCGTGCCCTCTCTGTGAGGCCACAGTGTGTCCAGGAGTGTCCGCTGGGGAGGGTCCCACACATCGCCAGCAGGGATCGTGGCAGCACCCAGAGCGTGGACGCTGCCATGTCCTGGGGATGGAGGGTCCTCGCAGCTGTCACTCCGGGTTTTTCCCGCGTAGCCCACGGGAGGCAGTCAGGAGGTCACCGAGTAAGTAAGCACCTTCTCTTACATTCATTAGAGATCCTTTCTAAACGTTAGAAGTGGATGCGTTTTTATCTCACTGTAATTTTTAAAAAACTGTTCTACTTTCTCCAGGTGCTATTCACAAGGGTGTTCTTTTATTAATTTAATTCATCATCTAATGACGCACATGCAATAAAGGCGTTAGGAGCTTTTTTAATAGTCTGTTTCACACGTAAACTAAGACTAGCTCAAAGCTAGGACTGTACCTCAGAAGTCAGAGCCCTAAACCGCGTCACAGGTCAGTGTAGGAAACTGGGATGTTCACCAGAGAACAGAACTGTCCCCAACGTGACCACACACACCATAGTGCAGCTCGTGCTTGGGGGACCAGGTAGCCCACCACGTGGCAGCCAGGACAGTTTTGGCTTCTTGTCACTTCACCGTCCGATTTTGTACGGTCTGCGTGGCCAGAAAAAACTGTGTTCTGGAGCAGGCTGTCCCATGACATGAAGGAACCCAGCTGCCGTTTTTGTGCAGAAACTGACAAGCTAAGACTAAAATTCAGATGGAAATGCAGGAGGCCCAGAATAGCGCTGAAGAAAAATGATGTTGTAAAGGACAAACAAAACAAAAAACCCAAGCTTCCTGATTTCAAACCCTGCTGCATAGTTGTAGGACGGGGGGACAGTGTGGTGCCAGCTTAAGGACAGACAGAGTGGCCTCGAGACGTCATAGCCACAGACTCAATGGCTTAGCTGAAATAGACACACTCCGTGACAGACACCAACTACCAGAACTCACTCCACACGAGGTAGAGAACCCAGATAGTCCTACATCCGTGAAGGGAAATGAGTTTGTAAAGTCATCCCACAAAGAAAAGACAGCTCCAGGCCCAGAAGAGTTTCACTGGAGATTCCACCAAAATGTAAGGAAAAAATTATACCAGTTCTACACAGTCTGTTGCAGAAAATAAAAGGAGCGAATACTTCCCAGCTCATTAGAGCAGCATTATTCTGATACCAAAACCAGTCAAAGACTTTACAAGAATAAAAACACACAAACCAATGTCCTTCACGAACGTGGCCCCAAAACCCCCAACATAATGGCAACAGACCAAATGCAGCAATATGTAAAAGGACAAGACACTGCTGACCAAGTGGATTATAGCTCAAGAAGGCAAAGTTGAATCGCTGTTAAATCACTCATGTAGAAACACTCTCATCATCCCAGTAGCTACAGAAAAAGGGTTTGACAGAACTCAATGACTATTCACAATAAAACTGCATAAACGAGGACCAGAAGTAAGCTTCCTTCCTCGTACAGGACACCTACAAAACCCACAGCTACCGTTCTCACTGGCCAAAGACGGGATGTGCTGTCTCTAAAACCAGGACTACGGCGAGGCTCTCTGATCTCACTGCTCCTATTAATCATCCTACTGGAGGACCGAGACATGCAGGTGGAAAGGGGAAATAAAACTCTCCCTGCTCTCACAGCACTACTCTGTACGCAGGAAATCCTGAATAATCTGCATAATGTTGCTAGAATAGAGGAGTTCAGTAAGATTGCAGGATACACAGTCATTGTATCAAAACCGGTTGTATTTCTATGTGAACCACTGGAAATTGAAATTAAACCACTTATAATAGCACCCCCAAAACATTAAATACTTAACTATAAATCTTTTTTAAAAAATACACGAGAGACCCAAATGCTGAAAAATACAAAACACCGATGAAAGAATTCGTGGAGACCTGACCAGTGGAGACGTGCTCGTGGGCCGGAGCGCTTGGTGACGTGAAGGTATTAGGTCTCCCTAACCTGGCGCACACATCGATGCCACCCCAGCAGGTTTTGTTTCCATCGACAAGCCTGTTCTAAAATTTATGGGAAAAAGCAAAGAAACTAAAATAGCCAAAGAAGTTTTGTCACAGCACAATCAGAAGACTCGCACTGTGATCTCAAGAGTCACCGTGACATCAGTCAGGAGTGGAATGGAGAGGGCAGATGAAGGGACCGGGCAGGGGCAGAACAGATCCCGAGACGGAGCATGGCCCGTCCCACCAATCTTCCACAGAGCTACGGACGGAGGACGGTCTTTCAGCAAGTGGAGTTGCAGTGACTGGACATCCATTTGCCCAGATAAAGAACGTCACTCCATCTCCCACACCATATTCAGAAACTAACCCCAAGAGCATCTCGTCCTGCTGTGAAACCTACAGCCAGGAAACTTCTAGAAGCTCCTTCTGGCCTATTAGGCAATGGATCTTTGGGAAGCAGAAAAAGCACAAGCCACACAAGTTAAAAATGGTAAGTGGGTTTCGTCATATTAACTGCTTTGTGAGTGTCTCTGTTAAGAACATGAAAACATAAGCCACAGCCTGGAAAAAAATACTGTAAAACACATATCTGATAAAAATCTTGCATCTGGTATACAGAAAGAACTCCCAGAATTCCATACAGAAGAACACAACACAATTACAAACAACGGACAAAAGGTTGGCAGAGACCCTTTGCCAGAAAGTGTGCAGACAGCAAAGGAGCACGGAGAAGGCGTGACATTAAGGCAGGTGGTCACTGGGAGCGCGGGCTGCCGCAGGGGACACCAGCACGCTCCGTACAATGGCCAACATCTCAGATCCGTTGACCCCAAGTGCGGACGAAGGGCGCAGAGCAGCTGACTGTCATCCGTGTGCAGAGGACGAGTATCACAGACACTCTGGAGACGTGTGGCTGTTTCCTACAAAATTGAACGTACACTTACCATACAACCCAGCACCCTGCTGGATGGACGTTCCCCCGGAGGAAGGAAAACCTGTGTGTGCGTCTTTTAGTGGTTTTTATTCATAATCAAAAACTAGACAGAAGCCAGATGTCCTTCACCTGTTGCATGATCTGTGATGCGATCATAGAAATACCAGTCACCTGAGAAGGTTCTCCAAATGGATACACGCACAACACAGATGAACCTCAAGCGTCATTGAAAGAAACCGGATACAGGGGCTCCTGGGTGGCTCAGTCGTTGAGCGTCTACCTTCGGCTCAGGTCATGGTCCCAGGGTCCTGGGATCAAGCCCCGCATCGGGCTCTCTGCTCGGCGGGAAGCCTGCTTCTCCCTCTCCCACTCCCCCCTGCTTGTGTTCCTGCTCTCACTGTCTCTCTCTCTGCCACATAAATGAATGAAATCTTTAAAAAAAGAAAGAAAGAAACCAGATACAAAGACTACACACACACCATTTACCTAACATTCCAGAAAAGGCAAACCAGAACAGCAGGGTGGTGCGAGGCCTGGGGCTGGGGGAGGCCAACCATAGAGGGCCATGGAGCAGGGCCGGGCTCTGTTCTCCACCAGGAGAGGGTGGGTGTCCTGCATGTGGACTCCACCTCCATCGGCCTGATGCTCCACAGGAAGTGTAGTCAGATGGCAAAGGTGCCCACGTCTGGGCCCCACTGCACGCAGGGCACCCCGAGCCTCACCTCGGAGCTTCTCCCACTGGTGGCCCAGGTTGCCAGCCCACAGCAGGCCTGGCCGAATCTGAGGAGCGCCATGTCGCCAGCACCCACCACCTCTCTGTGCACCAGAGCCCCCTTCCTTGTTTGTGGCCGGGGAGGGGGACTTGTTGTCACACAACCGGAAAAATCATAGTGTTGAGGTGAAAAGCAGGTCTGCGGCACTGGGATGTGTCGTCAGAACAGGCCCTGTTGGTGGGTAGAAACAGGATGCTCAGGGTCTGAGCATTTAGCATCAAGTTAAAGAGCCTTTCCCAGGGTCTGTCCCCGTTTTGCCTTTGGGGGACCCACTGATCCTTGCCCCCAGTTGTTCCAGGGACAAGCCAGGCCTGAGGCCCAGGCCCCGCATCCCCAGGAAGCTTCAGGGTGGGAATTGGCTTCTATGTAGAAGCCAGGAGCTGCTGGGACCGTGGTGTCACAACCCTAATCATGCAGCACTGCTCCACGCCCACGCTGTACCTGCTGCTTCATCCCAGGGGTTCTTAGCGCACTGTCCCCAGACAGGTGCCCGCCGCGGCCGCAGAGCCGTGTGCAGGTCAGCCGTGACCATCCTTGGATGAGCTCAACATGCCCGTGGGGGCAGACACAGTGGACGCCAGTGGACGCTGCCCTGGGAACACCATGCTTTACTTGTCCTTACAGCCCTAGGTCTGTCCCTGGGCCCCGGGTCCTTTGCCTGGGCCCTGGGGCACGTGCATCCAGGAACTCCATGCCCCTCCTGCCCCTCCTGCTCAGAGCACCTTCCACGCTTCCTCTGGCACGTTCCCATGGAAACCAGACTCCATCAGAGGGTGATGTCTCGGCGCTGCAGGTGTCTGTTTGTCTGGGCTGTTCTTATCACTCGACATTATTGTCATTTCTTTTCTAATAAAAGCTCCAAGTTGTCACAAACGAAACCAACTAACTTAGAAACCCGCGATCTACCCTGTCTGCCCCTGGGGGGTTATTTCCAGACCACCAAACATTCTGTGGAGGCTGACACCATCTCTTCGTGTCATCTCCACGTTTGGATGTCCTTGTTACAGCTCTTGCTATTTTGTTAGGTGTGGGGTTCTGGTTTTTAAGGAAAAAAAGAAGGAGCAGAGCAAGGAAATGCTGACAAGAGAGACCCGCAGGCCGCAGAAGTGAGGCCGGGCGGTTTGTGTTTGTTTGGTAATTGGATGGTGCGGAGCATCCGGGCGCAGACTGAGAACTGCTGTACCTGTGTTCATGCCTCAGCTGGCCGGAGCGGGCCCCAGCTCCTGTCTGCGTACAGACCTGTCGTTCGCGGCCATGCCTGCGCAGGAGAACCTGCGTGTGGCCACGCTCGCCGTCCGCCATCTGGTGCTTTCTCCAGCAGAGGAAACAGTGTGTAAATACCGAGTGTGGGCTGTCTGTGCCCGGGCACTGTTTTCTCACCGACCACCAGGAGAGGGTCAAGCCGGTCGAGGTCAGCTCAGCTGCTCGGCTCAGCCAAGAGCAAGTAGGGCTGTTTCTTGTTTGTTTCATTTCTCTCATTTTTTGGGACTTCACAGCCCTGGGTTTTCGAGCAGGGAGTCTGAGTCCATCGAGTTAACTTGATGACGTGTGAGGATTAAGGAAATACACCTTTATTGCACAAGGAGACTTCAGTCCTGGCTTCTTCTTGGCCAGGGGCAGGCCTCTCGTAGACACCACATGCACGCACATGGGCCTTTCTGCTCAAGGAACAGAGAGCGGGCTGGTTTGCACAGCGTCTGCTTATTTCCAGGGACATGAGCTCAGTCTCTGAAGCTGTTGCTCGGCAGAGAGAGTGCTGGGTTCTCAGGAGCTCGTGTGAAGCTGAGCAGTTCAGCTCCTTCCTGGCATCAGAGAAAGAATAAAGGCAGAAGTCCCTGAGCACGCCCACCTGCTTTCCAGTCCTCCTGCAGCATCCCACCGGCTCCTTCTCTCTGAAGCCTGCCTTCCTAAAGCTCCTTGTCTGCTTTGGAAGTAGCCGCCCTGCTGCCCCTGTCAGGGCGCTGGCCTCCTAGAAGCAGGACGGCGCACGGGCCTCCAGGGTTGGGGTGTCCCTGAGTCTCTGCTGCCGTCGTGCCGTTGTGCAGCCCGCCCTCCCTGGTGGCGCTCTCAGCCTCCAGACCCAGCGGCCCCCACCGCAGGAGGGAGGCCTGGCGCTCCTCTCTGACAGCGCGGAGACCCCTGCTGGTCATACCTGCCGGCAGGCAGCAGGCGCTCCGGCCAGACCCGAGAACCCAGACTTGTCTTTCGGGAACAGGGTCAGTACTTGGAGATGCTGCAGGTTTGGGTCCAGAGAACCACAGTAAATGAGTCGGCATGTGCTTTGGTTTCCGGGTGCACGTGAAGGTCACGTTCACCCTTCACTGTAGTCCGCCGAGCATGCAATAGCACCGTGGTTGAGAAAACGACGTGTAGACCGTAATTAACAGACGCTTCGTGGCTAAAAAATGCTAGTCCTCATGTGGGCTTTCAGAGTCGTATTCGCTGACCCCAGGTCACCGTAACAAATGTACTGATAACGAACAGTGTGAGATGCTGGGAGAGTCACTGAAACGTGACCAGAGACCCGAAGTGAGCAGGCGCTGCTGGGAAGATGTGCCCACGGGCACACCAGGCGCAGGGCGGCCGCAGACCTCCTGTTGGGGAGAAACGCCGCGTCTGTGAGGCGCGGTGAAACACGGTGGCTGTCCCTGGTCCCCGCCGAAGCTCATGCAGTGTTTTTATTGTTGAAGATCCCGGAAGAACACGACCTGGAGAGTCAGATCCGCAAGGAACGGGAGTGGCGATTTCTTCGCAACACGCGGGTCAGACAGCAGGCGCGACAGCTCATCCAGAAGGGTAAGCCGCCCCGATTTGCGAGGGAGAGAGCCTCCGAGGGCCCTCGGTGGGGCAGGCGCCCGCCAACCACGGTGCGTGGTGCAGGCGGGGCGCAGGCTCTCCTCGAGGAGTGGCAGGGGGCCAGGAGTCCTGAGGCTGGGGGCCTGCCCTGGGCCACAGGAGCCCCCCAAAGACCTCTGCCATTCCCTCCCAAGGGAAGCCCCAGCTGGCTGGCAGCCTCCCACAGGCCCATGGGTTGTGCATTTTGCCATTTTCAGAGCGGAAGGAGCAAACCTCCCTCCTCCCTGGGCCTGTGCTCTCTCTGGGGACAAAGACACCCTGCTGTGTCCAGCTGGCCCCCACCTGTCCCCAGGATAATCACTCTCTGTCAACCAAAGCTGTATTTGAGTCACATTTTACGAAACCTTTTACCAGATTTGCCAAGGATGCTAAACGGCCCCTGCCGCATGCTCCCAGCCTCACCTGCCGGGAGGGCTGGGCTGCCCCCCCCGCCCGGCATGAGGTGGCGGGGAGGGGGCGCGGAGTGGCCTCAGGCCTCCATTGTGTGATTGGGACGGGGACGGGGACAGGGACGGCACGCCAGGCAGCCTCTCCCCCTCTGGGGGATGGGCAGCCATAAAGGCCCGGCTCCCGCCCCTGTGGCTGACCCGGTCCTGCGGTTCTGGGTGCACAGAGACGTGGGGTGCGCTTACATCTTCTGGGGAGCCAGCGTGGCCCTGGTCAGTGGGCCGACCAGACAGTGGACGAAGCTGCCTGGGCCCCACACAGAGCGGGAAGTCACGGGCTCTTGGCCATTCTATCGATTGACTGTTTTGACCTTGCCTTTCTGTCCTCTAAAATTGTGGTGATTGTGACGGGCTCCTTTTTCAACTCGGGGGTGCAGGCCCATGAGACAGGCTGTCCCTCAGACACGCTTGGCTGCACAGCCACACCCCGTGGCCCTCCGCACACGGGGCTGCGCTAGGGGCCGCTTCCGCCGCCCATGTCCCACGTTCTCCCGTGAGTTGCCTTGGGGCCGTGTGTCCTTAGCATGGACAGTCACTTCTTCTGGAAACTAGTCTTGGCCGTTCATAACTCCGGCCTCCGTGAAGGGGCTGTCGGCGGCTAGGTTTGAAGCATTCTAGTGTTCGGAACTCGGCACCTGCCGACCCGGCAGTCGCCACGTGCACATGCACAGCCAGGGCCTGCCGCGCCCCACGACCTTCTTCTCTCCAGGAGAACAGAGCCGCCAGAGCCTGCCCGGTGCTCTGGGAATTAGGGCATCGGGAGGCTGTCTTCTCCAGGGTCTGCTGCTCCGCAGGACCCTGGTTCTCCGGGCCCCAGGGAAGCCGGGTCTGCCGCCCACGGTTACGCCTCTGGAGACCGACTGGCCCCGATGGGGAAGCCACACTCAGAGCTGGGGGCCTGACCGGAGCTGGGGGTTCTCAAGAAACAGCTGGGTTCTCTGGACAAAAACAAATAACTATCTTTGTGAACTAGGATCAGAGGTTCTCTTTTCCACTCTTTGTGGGAAAAAGACGCCTCCTCATTAGAACACAGGGGAACTCCTGGACGCAGCCGCTGGAGACCTCAGCCAGTGGGACTGGGAGATGGAGAGGTCCGTGTGGTGGACCCGGCCCCCAGAGAAGGGGACCCTGGCGACACCACTGTCCCGCTCAGCCACCTGCACCCTGTTGGTGTGCACTGTCCTTTCTGAGAGCCGCTGTGCACCGATGAGGAAGGGGAACGGCGCCCGTAGCTTAGCCAGGCGACCTGCGCCCAGCCTCGCCCCGGCCCCCTCGGCCAGCAGAACCGTGTTGTCACATACGCACGGTCACCCTGACTTGGGAGCCAGATGTCCCCAGTGTCTCCCAGTGGCCCGCGGTCTGGGCTCCTCCCCAGAAACCCGCGGCCAAGGGCGAGGGGCTCTCCGGTAAGAGCGTGCCACCACCGCGGGCACAGCGTCTGGGGCCTTTCTGCCGCTGTCACACGGCCCTCGACCTTGTTACCAGGTGGTTTTCAGTGTTCACTGTTTTAACAGGGGTGGGGCGGGCATGAAGGACTGAAATCATCATGAGGCCAGCGCCAGCACCCCCCAGGATGCCCAAGGGCCAGGCCTGTGCCTGAGGCCAAGATGCTGCAGGGGCCCCGCACCCCTGCTGCTCTGGATCAGCCACGTATTAGTCACCAAAAACACATCTAACCCTATCTTGGCCTCTTGGCCTTTTTAGCCTCTTTTAATTGTTTTTCTAAAACAACCTCCTCCTGCTGCTGGCATTTGGGGCCCAGTGAGTAAGTCCCCATTCAGCTGCCCTGTGATCTGTGGCGATTAGGGACCGCCCTCCTGAGGGGCCCACCAGGAGTTCAGCTGCGTGCGTGCCCGATGCTGCCACCTGGAGCTGAGTTAGAAATGGCGGCCCTTCCGCTTTCTTCATAAGCTCCCACCCCATTGCGCTTCTCTGAGCTCGCTCATGCATCATCGCGCGTGGGAGTTGATAAGCACTAACTGAAAACCTGCCGCGTGTCCGCCTCGTGCTGGGAGCTGTGGGGGGGACCCTGTGGTCGGGGAGCCAGGCCCTCGTCCCACCCCTGCTTGGCCTGTGTCCCTGGTGCCCTCCCAGGTCCCCAGACAGGAGGTGCAGCTTCGGTTCTGGTAGCGCAACATCGTCCCAGGTGCCATACGTTGAGGTCCATCACTGTGTGTCTCTTTGGGCAGGTATCGCAAAACTGGATGACCAGATATTTCTGAACAGGAATCCCGGCGTCCCCTCCGTGGTCAAGTTCCACCCCTTTACACCGTGTGTGGCCGTGGCTGATAAAGACAGCATCTGGTATGCTGGGCGCTTGTGTCTCAGCTGGTAACAGCCGCTCGCCGTGAGCCCTTTGGGGTCCTACAGGGGGCAGGGCTCGGGAACCCGCGGAGAAACGGGCAGGGTGGCGACGGCACACGTGGTGGGCTCCTCCAAACCGCACCGCGATGGAGACGTACCCACGAGGGCTTCATTCTTGCTAACCACCTGTGAAGAAACATAACAATAAGACACCAAGTTTAATTTATAGCAAGCGTTGCCCTTTTGCCATGGAGAACATACCTCCCCATGGGGGAGGAGCTCAGGGGTGTTCTTACTTCGGTTATTCCTCTTTTCTTTATTCTGGCAAAATGCACATAAAATTTCGCGCCATAACCTAAGTGCGCAGCTCAGGGCACCAGGCGCATTCACGCTGCCGTGCAGACTCCACCACCACCCGCCTCCAGAGCTGTTTCCGTCTTGTAAAACTGAAACTCTGTCCCCATTAGTCACAAACCCTGCCTTCTGCTCCCCCGGCCCCCACACCCACCGTCCACCGTTTGTCCCTGGACGGAGACCCCAGGGACCTCAACTGCCCTTGTGTGTCTGGCCCCTCCCACTGAGCACAGTGCCATCTGTCTGTCCATGTTGTGGCAGGTGTCAGAACGTCCCCTGTGCAGGCCAGGTGATAGCCCCGTGCGTCCACGCTCTACATCCAAGCAGTGATGGATGCGTGGGTCATTTCCACATTTGTTTTTTCGGTATCTTCATATGGTCAGGCTTTATTTTTTATTTTTTTAAAACATATGTCTACTTTTAACTCAACTTAGAGGAAGGCAAAACATAAAATAGAATAAAGTCTACCTTGATGATTTATTGGGTTTGATTTTGTTAGAAAAGGAAGCAACAGGGCACCTGGGTGGCTCAGTCGGTTAAGCGACTGCCTTCGGCTCAGGTCATGATCCTGGAGTCCCTGGATCAAGTCCCGCATCGGGCTCCCTGCTCAGCAGGGAGTCTGCTTCTCCCTCTGACCCTCCCCCCTCTCATGTGCTCTCTCTCTCAAATAAATAAATAAAATCTTTTTAAAAAAAAAAGAAAAGGAAGCAACAAAGTAAATAACGACAGACAACAGAGTCTTTGAGATCTGCCCTCAAGTAGCTTCTGTTCGATACCAAAGGAGCTAAATTTTTTCTCAGATTCTAATTTACTCCGTGCCACCCATCTGTTTATATTTTTAACAGCTCCCTTTAAAGTAGAAACAAATTTTTATTAAAGATTCATAGACAGTCATGATTTTTAATTAAAATTGTAACAGTGATACACAGTATTGTTCATTTGCTCAGCATCTCCCAGACACAGTGCTACGTCCCCTGTCGCTTTGTGCCCATATCATGATCACGGCCATCCCCCCGTTGGCAGCTGTGAGCCAGGCTGCGATGAACATGGGCGGACAGATGTCTCAGCACACCCAGCAGTGGGACCTTGGGCCCCTTGGCACCCTCGGACTGACCGCCTGGGGAACCCCGTGCTAATGCCCAGCAGCCGTGCACGCGGGCTGTTTGTCCACAACCTGCTGGAGCTTGTGGCTCTCCGTGGGTTTGGGAGTGGCCACCCTGGCAGGTGTGAGGAGGGATCACCCTGTGGCTTTTGTTTGCATTTCCCTGACAAGTGACCTTCCTCTCTCCTTCCCCGAAGTTTTTGGGACTGGGAGAAAGGGGAGAAGCTGGATTACTTCCACAACGGAAACCCTCGGTACACCAGGGTCACCGCCATGGAGTACCTGAATGGCCAGGACTGCTCGCTGCTGCTCACAGCCACAGGTGAGTGGGGTTTGCGGGGCTGGGGCCCCGGGCCCCAAACCCAGTGCAGAGACCCCGGCGTATCTTCATGCACAGCCCTGATTGTTCCTCTGGCAAAGGACACTGCTCGTGGCGAAGGCCGCCGGCACCGAAGAGGTGGGAGGTTTCCAAGGGAACGGGCTTCACCCACAGACAACGGGGCCAGCAGGTGACCAGTGCCCGTCGGTGTCCAGGGACCGGTCCCTCCTCTGGGGCCCGGCCCTCCCCGGACCAGGAAAGGCCTTGTTAGCCTCTGCCCTTGTGGCCCCTGTGACGCCCTTAGAGGCGAGGCCGGCGCGGGGGTGGGGGCTCCCAGAGCGTGGAGGAAGAGGGAGGAGGCCCCGCCTCGGCTCCCGCAGGGTCTCCAGCCCTCACTGCTATAGCTCTGCGACCGTGTGTCCGGCTCCTCTTCAGGCCAGGCTCCTGCCTCCGGGTGGGCCGCTGCCAGTGCTGGGCCTCATGCTTGCTTTCTGGGTCTGAAATGTCACCACTTCACCCCTCCCTGCAATAGGCTTCCCAGTGAGCCACCCCAGGTGACCGCCGTCTCCTTTAGCTGTTTGAAGACTCGACCTCACTGTTTGTGGGTGATGAGAAGTCACCGTTGGTCTGACCGCACCTCCTTCAGGGATGACAGGCCAGGGGTAGGATCGGCAGGCGGGGAGAAGGGGGCGCACGAGGCAAGAGGGAGAGGAAGACCAAGGTAGACTGCAGGCTGGCTCCCCACATTACCCCAGTCCTGTCCCCATCCTGTCCTAGGTCTGTCCCTGTCCTGTCCTGGGCATGTTCCCATCTTGACCTGCCCTGTCTTGTCCTATCCTGGGCCTGCCTTGTCCTGTCCGATCCTGTCCTGGGCCTGCCCTGTCCCTGTCCTGTCCTATCCTGGGCCTGCCTGTCTTGTCCTATCCTGGGCTTGCCTGTCTTGTCCTATCCTGGGCCTGTCCCTGTCCTGTCCTGTTCTATCCTGGGCCTGCCTGTCTTGTCCTATCCTGAGCCTGCCCTGTCCCTGTCCTGTCCTGTCCTGGGCCTGCCTTGTCCCTGTCCTATGCTGGGCATGTCCCTGGCCCGGCCTGCGTTAGACCTGAGCTTCTGAGCCATCGACACAGTTGAGCTGACTGGACTGGGAACGCTGCCTCCCCCTTCGTTCAGAGTGTTCCTAGGCCCCACTGTGAAGGGTGTGCCCGTGGGGAAAGGTCCTGCTGGCAGCCTCTCTCCAAGCAGCACCACTTCAGGACCAGATGAAGTCAGGCCACAGCAGTTCCTTCTGCTGCGGGCATGAGGGTGAAGGAGCAGACAGGCACCCGGGGTGGTGGGCGGGGAGCCAAGGCGGCTCAGCAGAGGTTGTAGGACAGGTCACACTGAGCACCTCTGAGCACCAAGGAGGTAGGAGAGGATGATTTCCTGGTAAAGCAGGCACAGGAGTGGGTCCCCAGGGGGTCCTGGGGGAAGAGCGCGAGGGCTTGGGTTCCAGAGCAGGGAAATTCATAGTCACAGAGACCAGGGGCAGGACGGGTGTAGGCGGGGACGCAGCCCAGCGGACGTCCGAGGGACCTCGTCTTCCCTCTGCTATGAGGCGAGTGGTCATCCCCCAGGTGGGAGTCACCTCTGAGGGCCACAGGTGAGGGGCTAGTGAGTCGGAGCACGGGGTTTGGGGTGGGGTGTGAGCAGCGCCAGGAGGAAGGGCACGGGGTGGAGCTGCATGCTCATGCCACACAGGCTCGTGGAAAAGTGCAAGGGCCCTGTGCTGAGTGTCAGGCAGGAAGGGGCGGCCAGCCCGCCTCCTGATGTGAGGGGCCTGTGGGGCCACCAGCTGAGGGCCCAGCTGTGTGGAGCAGAGGCAGGAAGGGGCCACCTGGGGTCAGAGGTCGAGGATGGTGGTGGGTCCCACTGCACCCCCGCTGCGGCTTCCCTGGCGGCCCAGACGGGAGTCTGAGGATGCCCGGTAGAGACGGGCCTCCCAGGAACCGGCCCCACTGCTCTTACATTGGGCCCTCGTGGGAGACCCGCATAGTCTTCTGTCTCATGGCCCCATCACCTGTCACGGAGGGGGCTTCCTCCGCGGGCCCCAGCAGCCAGGCCCATGTTCTCACCTCCTTCCCTCTCTCCCCAAGATGATGGCGCCATCAGAGTCTGGAAGAACTTCGCGGATTTGGAAAAGAACCCAGAGATGGTGACGGCTTGGCAGGGGCTCTCGGACATGCTGCCAACAACCAGAGGTGGGTCCTCCCTGGGAGCGGTGCAGCCCCAGGCTGCCAGGCCCAGCCACTCGCGTTCCCCTTGCGGGTGGCTCCCCCCAGGCCGCCTTCAGAGTCCCCAAACCGTAAGCCAGCCGACTTCCTTCCCCCAGTTGCCATGAAGCGCTTCCACATCAGGGGCCATGGCCCGCCTGAGACTCGCACCTGCCCCACCCTCACCCTTGGCTCTCAGCCTGTGTGGCTGGGAAAGGACCCGCCACTGGTGGGGACCTGCGTTCTGTGCTCTTTGTGCCCAGACTAAGTCCCTGTGGGCGAGGGGAGCGCCGTGGCACGCGGGTGCGTCTAGATGGTGGAGGCTGAGGATGCTTGCCCGGCCCGCGCGGGGCCGACAGAAGCGCTCTCAGAGCTGAGCTGGTGCGGCTGGCCCACTCTGCCTGCTGCCCGTGGGGTGGGCACAGCCGCCGCCCCGCAGACCGGTCCTTCCGGGGCCTGGGCAGGAGCTGGGCTGGCGGCGGGCTCTTCTCCTCTCGAGGGCCCGCTGTGTTGCCGCCGCACATGGACAGTCTGTCAGGTCTGGGTTCCCGAGACGCCGGCCATGGGGGTCGTGGTCTTGCCACCAAATGGACAGGGAAAGCGGCGCAGTCTTCCTGCCGGCCTGGCCTTGCTGTGACTTTGTCACTTCCCACGTGGCCTCGTCTGTGTCCCGTCATTGTGTGGCCGTGCTTTTCACGGCCAGTCGTCTGTGGCTCCTTCTCTCCCCTCTGTGCGAGCGCCATCCTGGCGAGTCACCGACCCTGGGAGGTGACCTTGTGCAGGAGAGACCGCCCAGCCCCAGCACGGGCAGCTCTGGGCCGACGGCTCCTTGCAGGTGCTTGAGAACGTCGCTGTACTTTTTAGTTATCTTAGGAATAAAACGGTCATCCGTATCTATCCCCCCACGGCACTGAGGCCCCAACACGGCCACCTCTGTGTTGCCTGGGCCCCTTCAGGCCGGGGCACATGCTGATGGCGATGACAAAGCCACAGTCGCCGTGTCCTTCCACCTCTGTCTTGGTTTTCCCGGGTTAGAGCCAAGGCTTGTCTCCCCTGCAGACCTCACCGCCCCCAGCCATGCCGGCAGCTCTGCTACCCCACGATGCCCCACCTGACCCGGGCGCTCGTGCTCGCAGCCCGTGCTGCAGGTGGTGGCCCTGAAGACGAGGCTTTTGGTCCTTCACTTCCTGCTGCCGTCCAGCAGGTGACACACCCCCTTCCCCAGCCACCCCGCCAACCCCTGCCTGTGGGACCAGAGACCCCGTGCGGGCACAGCAGGGGCTCGGGGCCAGGCCAGAGGACGGGAGAGCTGGGAGCCCACCCACGGCTCGGGATACACTGGTTGTTTATTCATTCTGCAACTGCCCGCCTCTCCGCCCGCCCCCCAAATGTGTGTGTGTGGTTTCGAGACACCGAGAACGGTCTCAGCCATGATGCCATTCCCTTTGCTTCAGCCAAGGTGAGGGAGGCCCGGGGAGCGTGGCTTGCAAGTGTGGCGGGAGGTCTAGCTGGGAGCAGAGGAAGCAGGGCTGAGGGGTCCGACCTGGGTCCCAGGCACCCCTGCACTTGTCTCCTGCCCATCAGAGGACCCCCCATGTCACTTGGGGTGCAGAGAGCCACTCCTGGCCCCAGTTGTCCATCACAAGCCTGACTTGAGCGTGGGTTCCACGGGTATTACACGTGCGTTTCCTACTGGCCCCCTCCCCTCCCCCCAGTTTACAGAAATCTCCCCAGGAGAGGCGGAGTTGGGGAGGGGCCAGGAGCAGCAGGTGAGGGTCTCACCTCCCAGTCTTTATCACAGGGGGATGAGGGGCCTGGGGCGCTCCAATTCTCCTCGGCTGCTGAGCCACAGTTTGGTCCTGTCCTCCTCTGCTTTGTAGCCCGGCAGCCATGGGCTTAGCAAATGGTTATTTCCTTGTTCTTCCCGAGACGCTGGAAGGAGGGAAGGGGCAGGGAGCCTGGGGGACTAGCTGCTGTACAGGTCAAGACTGGACGGGCCCAGGCGCGGTAGGGCCACAGCCGCCCCGATTGTAACTCCCGTCTCAGATCTAAAGCTCTGTAGCCAGAGGGTCAGGTCTGGTGGAATTCCGCCTCCTGCCCATCAGCTCCCGGCTTCTTTCCCCCTGCCCAGCCTGGAACCAGTCCTGGCCTCTGACATGACAGCCAGCAGAGGACTGGGCTGCAACCCCAGGGAGACACCTGGAGAGACACGGAGTGAGGACACCGAGAGCTGCACCCGTGGCCGTTACTTCTCAGCGTCTGGGGCACCCCTGCAGCGCAAGGCAGGACCCTTCTGAGTTCTGGCTGTGGTCCAGGTCACCCACACAGGTGCTCGAAGCTACCCCCCGTGCGGTGTCCCAGCCGGCCTGCAGGCTGTCTGCACAGCAGGAGGTGTGCTGGCCTACCGTTCCCGTCAGCCGCGGAGCACACCCAGGGGACTTGGGGTGACCGGGCGGCCAGAGCACCGCTGGCTGAGAAACCCCTCACTCTGCTCTCCGCAGCCAAGTCCGCTCACCAGGCCGCTGTCTGGCAGCTCGTTTGAGGAGGTCTGAACCCGCAGTCCGTGACGGAGGAGAGGCCGTTTCTCACAGGGAGTCTTGTGAACTGCGGGCCGGGTCCGTGCGCACGTCACCTCTGGCTGACGTGTGCACACACACACACACTTGTGCACACGCACCCGGGCATTCACACGTGTGCACAGGTCCTGAGGTGGAACCACAGATGGGCCTCCCCACCTCTGCCGTGGCGTAGCCACCGGGGAAGCCACCCTGCAGCTGGAACTTCTCCGCCCGCAGAGGCCTGTCTGGACCAGCCACGGTGGACTTTGCGGCGGCATTGACGAGCGCTCGGGCACTTGGAAGTTCTGATGGCACGTTTGGTTGGGTTTCGCGATGTGCCACAGCCCCTTCCAGTTTCCCACCTAGAGAGAGACTTGATGTTTGGACCAAAAACCCTGGTAACTGAGTTTCCACATCTGTCAGGTCCATTTTTGGCGAGGTCAGCCCCTTCGGTCTGGACTGTGGCACACTGTGGCCTTGGCTGCCCCACCTGCCACCATCTCCTGCTTCTTTCTACTTGAGTGTTTTTCCAGCCCTTTGGGATTGTTTGCCTTTGCTAACTGCTCTGGCCAACTAAGCCCCATGTGAAACCCATGATCCCTGTGTCCACGGAGGTCCGGCTCGGAAGGCCTCAGTCTGTCTCGACTGCAGTAAGCAGGGACAGGAGTGTCTCTTCTCTTCCCTGGGACCACCCTGGAGGTGGGGCAGGAGGCGGTCCCTCTCCTCTCCTGGCCCCGTTTGTTCTCATGCCCATGGCGCTCTTTGGGGCCAGCAGAGGGTTAGGGCTGTGACTTTGCATCTCCTGTCCACACTGTCCCGTCCACACTCCCATACAAAAGATCATCAGCCAACGGGCACTCAGATGTTACGGGACAAGTCAGGTCGCTGTAAGGCTCTGGGAAGAAATCTGAAGGAAAGCCATTAAGAGGAATCTCCCTGGGGTCTGAGGCCTCATGGTTGCACCTCCTGGGCCCCCTTATCCCAAAGATGGGGACTCACATCCTGCGGGCTCGGGACCTTGTCCCTCCCCTCTGCTGCATTGCCTTCGAGGAGACTCCTCTGCAAACCACGCTCACGCCGGCCTCAGTTAGGGATGGAAGATGACCCAGATGACACCCCCTCGGGGGAGGTTATGGCCACTACCGCTTCACAGACCTGCAGACAAATTGGACGGCCCAGCTCTGCAGGCCAGACCCCAGGAGGGGCGTTCCGGTTTCTTTAGAGCAGAGAAGTCGTTTCAGATCAAGATTGATTCTTCCACCTAAACTTTTGAAAAATAATCTTTTTCAGAATTTAATCCAGAGTTTCTTATAGCATCTGTCTCCATCTGAAAAATCCATATATAAGCTTAATAGTCACCAGAACACCCACAGGCAGATGCCCTTGGATACACAACTGTAGAACTGGGTTAGCAAACATAAAACCTGGAACGATCCAAACGTGTCATTTTTTTCTCGTAATTTCCGCGTGTGGGTACCTCATGAAGAGATGGGGCTCACGGATCCTGACCTGTGATTTATGGGGTCAGGTTTAGAGCGCGGCAAGCCTTCGTCCTGGCTTGTGCCTGGCAGCCCTTTGCAAGAGCTGGTGGCATTCTCCACAGGAGGGCAGACAAGGCCGTGGGTCTGGGGGCCCCCAAGCCACTACAACGAGGGGCCAAGAATGAGAAGTCCCTTCAGACCTCAAGGACTCACAGTTCAGTGTTTTGTGAAGAACACTTCCAGTAGCTCATTCTCTGCGTGTAAGCTCCAGAGAGGAAAAACCAAACAGGACAGGAGATGGGCTTCTGCTCTTCCGGAAAGAGCTCACTTGAGCTTCTCAGAGAAACGACAGGGTCACTGTCTCTGAAAACCTAGGAAAAGCCAGAGGACCACCTTCCATGGATGGGGCCTGGGGAAGGTGAGAGGCCGGACGGCACCTGGTCTAGTCGTTTCAGCGGCTTGGTGGTTCATCGAGGTCGGTGCCGTGGGACGGAGCCTGGGACAGGACAGGGCCCGGGCTCTTCTGCACCTCGGCAGCCCCAGAGAGCCGAGAACATATCATCCAGCCTGGTGCGTGTGAACAACGACATCAGCCTTGGGCCTTTGGTTAATTGTTAATATTGATCAACCAGAAACAGCTCGGAAGCAGGCAGGCTGAGGACCACGGAAGAGCGTGATGGCCCAGGCAGAGTGGCCTTGAGCCGGGTGCTTCCGGAACTGCTGGCCGGCCTGTGTGTGCTGTGCACCGGAGTGGGAGCTGATGGGAGCTCCTGCAGGAGAGAGTGGGGACTACCTGGCCACAGGCCTGCAGTTCTCACCAGTGCCCGGGGGACAGGCCCCTCCTCCTCAGAGTTCTAGAACCACACCTCCCCTGGGTCTGCCTCCAGTTGGGGTTGACGGGCCCCCAGGGGTCAGCCCCACATGACAGGGTCCTCAGAGGGCAATCTGGACTGGCTACTGGCTCGGAGGGCTGACCGCGGTGTTACAGAGATCCAGACCCTAGCATGTGCTTGTCCGTTTCCACTGTCTGCTGGGCCTGGATGCTCTTGGGTCTTAGAACCACACATTCCAGTCATCCTAACCCATCTCTGCCCCCCGGATCTACATTGTAAGGAAGAAGTCCCCCCTTTGGCCAGGTCTCAGATTGGGTGGTGCGTCCAGGGCCTGTACCCAGAATAAAGTCAGGCAAGATTAGGAATCTGCATCTTGGGAGAGCTCCCACCGCACCCCACCATGGGTAGGGAGGTCAGCCATCCTAGGAACATGGAATGTGGTCACATGTTCTCAGGGATATTGTAGTTTACTGGGCTGGTATGACTCCTCAGCTTTTTAAAAACCTCCATGCAGCTGTACGGCCTGCACTGGCCAGCCTACAGCTCACACACCTCCAGGGGCAGGGAGCAGGGTCCCAGCCACCCACGGAGCCTACACCGGCCAGCCTGCAGCTCGCACACCCCCAGGGGCAGGGAGCAGGGTCCCGGCCACCCACGGAGCCCGCACCGGCCAGCCTGCAGCTCGCACACCCCCATGGGCAGGGAGCAGGGTCCCGGCCACCCACGGAGCCCGCACTGGCCAGCCTGCAGCTCGCACACCCCCAGGGGCAGGGAGCAGGGTCCCGGCCACCCACAGAGCCCGCACCGGCCAGCCTGCAGCTCGCACACCCCCAGGGACAGGGAGCAGGGTCCCGGCCACCCACGGAGCCCGCACTGGCCAGCCTGCAGCTCACACCCCCCCAGCGGCAGGGAGCAGGGTCCCGGCCACCCACGGAGCCCGCACCGACCAACCTGCAGCTCACACACCCCCAGCGGCAGGGAGCAGGGTCCCGGCCATCCACGGAGCCTGCACCGGCCAGCTGCAGCCACACACCCCCAGGGGCAGAGAGCAGGGTCCCGGCCACCCACGGAGCCTGCACTGGCCGGCCTGCAGCTCACACCCACCCCCCACCCTCCCCGGGGCGGAGAGCAGGGTGCCGGCATCCTGAAGGTGTGAGCCTAGAGAGGGAGTGAGCCAGTGGGCAGCCCTTTGCAGGGGGAGCCCAGAGCAGCCCGCTCGCTCCCAGAAACCCAGAAAGCCACGCTGGTCTGACAGGAGAGGTAGGGGTGCACAGAGGAAGGAGGGGGCACCCTGCACCCATAGTGACCTATGAAGTCCACCTCGTTCAAGGGCAAGATGTTCGAATCTTAGGAGTGTTACTTAAAACACAGCCATCACCTTTGTTCCTTCTCGTCCCATCTGGGAAGAACATGAAACCCTTTTATCATCTTTAACTTGGGACAGATCAAATAACCTCTCCTCCTGTCATGTCTGGAAGTCGAGACGCGGGGCTGGCTGGAAAAGGTGTCGGGGAGAACCAGTGGCCACACTCTATCTCTGGGCAGCGGGATGTGGCTGAGAGTCCGGACCCATGGGAAACGAGAGGGGGCCCAGGTGGGAGCAGGAGGACCTTATCTGGAGGTGCGTCGGGGTGTAGAGCAGAGCCCTGCGTTCCTCCCTGCAATCTCCCATTGCTCTGAGAGATTATCTTCCAGACTGGAGCCTTGCTGTCTTAGGTGAGGGCGCCCGCAGACAGTCAAACACAGCTGAGCGGATAGGCTCCAAGGCCCCCAAACCACATGCCGGCTCCCTCGGGAGTTTGTCTTCAACCGACACCTCCCGTGGAGGTTGCTCTGACTGTGCGAGCCAACGCGCCGGCTGCTTCCCAGCAGCACGGGTTTCTCACACTCCTGCCCTGGGCTGTGCCCCCGCCCGCGCAAGGGAGGCATCCCGTCATCTTGGGGCCTCCCCTGCCTCCCCTGGGTTGTGCCATGGCTTCTCGAGGACGGCTGTGCCACGCCTGGGGTCCAGGGCCCCACCAGGCCAGGGCTCTGCAGGTATCCCAGCAGCAAGAGGCTCTGGCCATTCACGGGCCATCCTGCATATCTCAGAGGCCAATTTCGAGGACACTTTGTTCATTTAGAAGAGAGCAAACAACCGAGCCGTTACATGAGTTCTTGTATGTGTCCATGATGTCTGTCAGAGGTGGTGTGGCCCCACAAAAAGAACCAGGCTGTAATATAGGGTGGGCCTCATTTGGGGTCCTGACTCCACCTCACGTTCCTCTCATTTGCTTCTGTGAAAGTTACCAAATCAGTCTGAGTTTAGGTGCTCGACTGCAATGGGGTTGGTGGAAAGATGTGCCCTGCAGGCTGGCCGAGGGTCCCTGGGCCCCGAGGGGACGTGCCCTCAGGCCCGGCTGAGGGTCCCTGGGCCCCGAGGGCAAGCGCCCTGCAGGCTGGCCGAGGGTTCCTGGGCCCCAAGGGTATGACCTCCGCCTGCTGGTTGAGGGTCCTTGGACCCCCGTGTAGGAAGCATCCCATGCAGGAGACTCTGGGGCTCATAGCTATCCCGTCCATACTCTGGGGCCCTCCTCTGGGATAGGACCGCCGCATGCCTGTGTTTCAGATCAGGAAACCGACGTTGAGGGGCAGTGGCTTTCCTGGCCGCTGGGAGCTCCACGTCCGGGGCTGTCCCTGTGTGTCTCAGAGTCACAGGGTCAGAGAATATCGCTTTCACCACCTTTTGGGCACTTGTATGTCCTATCTGGGGTCAGACTCGTCTGCACGTGCAAGGCATCTGCCTCCCCGACCCAGTGCACAGGACTCAGGAAAACCCAGCCGTCTGCAGCACACAGACAGCTTTCTAGTCCACTGACTGCAGCGCTTGCTCCCCGCTACTTCCAAGCAGAACCAGCTTGGCATCCCAGGCTAGGGTTTACACGCCACCCCCTGCCTCCGCGCACGCTCCCAGAGCCGCTGCGCCAGATGGAGATGCTGAGGCCTGGCGTGTCAGCACCCAGCTCGCTGACCTGAGAGGGCCTTCAGAGAGGCGATTAAGTTGGAACAAGAGCGTTAGAGTGGGCCCTGACCCGGGCGGGCTCCCTCTGGCTCCGAAGCACCTCGTGAATCCACCAGGAAGGAAGCTGCCCTCCACCCCTTGGCTCGGGCCTGGGTCGGCCGTCCAGAACAAAACAGGGCAGACCCGCTTCGCTCACCCCCGGCGCGGGGCACAGCTGCGACTCCTGCCTCACGTCCTTGGGTCACCCAGCCCACCCCGGACCCTCTCCGCTTGTCCCCGTGACCCCAGACTGTGGCGCTGAGACGTTGGCACTGGTCCAGATGCCATCTGGCCTACACGCTCAATGACTACACGCCTCCTAAGTGGCCCGCGGGGCTGCTGCCGAGCACCAGGAGGACGGCCGAGGATGTCTGAGCACGCAGGCGGTGCGGGCTCTGTGCCGACGGCCACCCCGCACATCCACTCCTCGGGGGCCTATGTGCTCTGCGGCTGGTCTGCCACCGGGACAGGCTGGGAGCGCCACCGTCAGGTGGGTGCAGACGCAGCCCGGCACCAACCCGCCGTGCTCCCCCGAGGCCACGGCCCACAGGCTGACGTCCGGGGCCCGTGGTCCGACCACAGCGCTTTCAGAGTTGGGAATTTGCGTATTCTTTAAAAACCCTCAGAGTCTATACAAAGCAAATGACTTTCAGTTTTACCCATTTTACAAAGAATGCTTCTTGCAGCTGGAGCCGTTGCAGAACACCCAGGCCCCACCTTGACTTGGGGGCCTGAGAGCGTGTAGGTTTGCCTGAGGCCAGTTGGACACAGACAGATGGACATAACTACCCGCCCCATGTAGCCAACTCGTGCCCGTCCAGCTTCGTCATTCTCCCAGGTCCCACCCGACCTTCCACCCCCATGTAGATGTGGGTCTTCGGGGCCTTGAACAAGCTTCCCTTTGAGTCCTGTCCATTCCCCATCATAGAACGCTGTCCCTCCCCCACCATACGAGGCTGTGCAGTGCCCAGCTGTATGGGCCGTCCCTGCCCCATGATGCCAGGCCATCCATCCTTCATCATGTGCGTGAGGGCATCCGGTCCCCCTTATGTGAGGGGCTCCAGACAGAAGGCTCACAGACAGACAGGGGTCCATTTCCCTCCCTGGGACACTGGCTGGGGCAGGCCGCCTGGGCGTCCCAGCGGGTGCTAGCCCAGGGCCACTCTCAGGGTCTCTCAACTGGTTCCTGAAGGGTTGCAGCCGGTTTTGAGTGATGCTTGTGGACCACCCCCTGGCACTACTTTGGGTTTTGATTCCAGAGGTGGCACATGACTGACATGAGCCGCCAAAGGGCCCGGGTCAGAAGTCACGCTCTCCATCCTCATTGTTACCAAATACATCAAGTCCAGTAAACATGGGGTCTGAAACAATAGGGCTTCAGACACTCCTTCCCCTGGGATGGGGGCCCTTGGCACCCACCCACCACCCCCCTCCTGGGTCAGAGAGCTTCCTGCACAGTCACCCCCGCCCCTCAACCGCTGGCCATGCCCGGACCCTCGGTATGTCCCTCTGGCCTGGGGGGTCATGTCCTGGCACAGAGTGGCCAGTAGGGACCGGGCCGGGGGCCCTGCCTCCGCATCCAGGCAGGTGACTGGTCAAGAAGAGCAAACACTTGAGCTGGATTGAGGCTTCGTGCTGGTCTTTCTTTTATTCTCTTCCTTTCTTTTTGGGGGGGGATTATTATTGAGGTAAACTTCACATAACATAAAATTAACCATTGTAAAGTGTTCAATTCAGTGGCATTTAGTGCAGTCACAATGTGCGACCCCCACCCAGCTAGTTCCAGAACATTCTCATCTGCCAGAAGGAAACCCTGTGCCCACTAATTCAGTGTCTCCCTGCAGAGAGTGGTGCTCAGAAGACTGCCATGGCTAAGCCGAGTTGTCTGTGCTTAGAAGTCTGTCCAGGGTCTGGGCCCGGCTCGCGCCCCCAGCGCTGCTGGTGGGGGTACCTGGCGGGTAGCCCAGGGTTGGAAGGGAGATTGGGGCCTGGAGGGAGGTCCACCGCCCTAAAAGGACACATTGGAAGAGAACGAGGCATTACGGGCTCCAGAACAGGGTGCCCAGGGACATGGGGGCTGCGGGGCCGCAGCATGGAGCAGCAGAAATGAGTTTGACAAGTGTGACTGAAGAAACACACAAACGAGGTCATCACGTAAGTGGCAGAACAGAAAGAGATCCTGGTGTCACGATGCAGGTTGCAGCGCATGCGTCTGGTGGAGGAAGAATATCGTGAACGCCAATGACCACGGGGTCCGGTGGGACCCACTGCGTGGGTCTCTGCCACGGCTGTAGATGTGGCCCCTCCCGCCGGGAGCCTCCTTCCAAGTGCACAAGTTGCTGCTGTAGCTGCGGTTTGTGGAGTCAGGGAACACATAAATAACTGGGTCAAGCAGACCCCAACCTGCTGGGCAGGATGAGTCCACACAACGTGACCTGGAAGGGGAACGCGGTTCCTAGGAAATACGCCCCGTGTGAAATTGGTGGCGTTAGCGGAAGCCGTCCTGGTGTGTGGACAGGTGCGCCTGGATGGGGGATGCGCACGGCCCAGCTTGGGAAGATGCCCAAGGCCTGGGGACGGTTCGGCCAGGATCAGAGTGGGCAAGTGAGGCTTTTGCTGGTCTAAAATCTTGCTTCTTTTCAAAAGAACGAAAAGGGGGAAATGCCCGCCACTGTTA